AGACAGACAGACAGACATGAGGTGTGTGCGCCATGGTCCCCATGGTCCCCCCAGCACCCAGCACTCACATGGGAGGGTGTCCCGGTGGCGGGCGATGCAGTGCACGGCCAGGAGTGATGCTGCAGTGGCCACCAGCATCGCCACCACCGCCGCCCCTGTCACCGCTGGGTAGGCCTCAAAGGGAGGCTCGGCTGGAAGAGAGCACAGGGATAGGGGGGGAGTGTAGCAGGAGCAGCCCGGGAAGGCCGAGGGATGCGGTCGCCTGAGCCTGTTCACTCTGAAACCTACTGCCGGCCGCTTGCGCTTTGCTCCTCAGCTCCACCAGGCTGCAACCATCGCCCATCTCCAACCCTGCTCTGCCCCACGGAGCAGCGCCCCAGCCCCCTTCACCTGGCGTCTGCACCTCGGAGGGGTGCCCGGCCGTGCGGTGGTTGACGGCCAGGATGCGGAAGGCATAGACCACAGCCGGGTCCAGCCCCCCAAGGCGCCGGTCGCGCGAGTGGGGCTCGATGTCACCGGCGGCCGTTTCCCAGGGCCCGGCCGCCCGCCGGGGGGGTCTCTTGGTTTGACGCCGCTGCACCACGAAGCCGGTGAGGTTCCCGGTGCCCTGTGTCCGCCACTCCAGCCGCACCTCGGTGCGCGCCCGCGTGTACCGCAGCCTGCTGATGGTGACGTTGGGGGGGGCCGGGTACCCTGCGGGGACGCAGCACCCCTTAGAACAGGGTTGACCCCTCGCAAAACCCATCCACCGTGTCCCAGGGCTCACGTTCCACACGGAGGTGCACAGGGAGGCTGGCAGTGCCCACGGCGTTGGCTGCGGCGCAGCGGTAGATCCCACTGTCCCCCGGCCACTCCACATCGTGGATGGTGAGGTTGAGCCACGCTTCTCCCCGCTCCAAGTGGTACTTGGCCAACCCCGCTGTCACCTCCTGCTCCTTCGGGTCATACCAAGCCATGCTGGCACCCAGGTTGGTGCCGGTGCCGCCTTGCCGGCATGCCAGCCGTGCCGCACCGCCCTCCAGCACCACCACCTCGCTCCTCGCCACCTCCAGCTTGGGGACCTCTGTTCGGTGACAAGACAGGATGGCACCAGCAGGGATGTGGCACCCATCTGCTGACAGGGGGACCGGGGATGGCTCTTGGCTTACCCAGGCGCAGGCGGCACTCGGTGCCAGTGGCCTGTAGCGGGTGCGTGGCCATGCAGGTGTAATCCTGCCCCCCCAAGCTGCTGCCGGTGCTCAGCACCACAACGGTGGTGGAGGGTGCTGGGTCCCCCAGCGCCTGGCCCGCACCATCCCACCAGCGCAGGGTGACGGGGGGTGTCCCCCCCTCCCACTGGCACCGCAGCATCACAAACTCATCCCCCTTGGTGGCTGCTGCCGTGCAGGAGGGGCCACCAGCCGGGATCCCTGCAAGAGGAAGGGGTGTTGGGATGGGGCTGTGATCTGGGGCCCTCAAAAGAGACCCCCCCACAAAGCACAGGAGGGCTCTGGGCTGTGGGACCCCCATTGTGGAGCAGGAGGTCGTAGAATGGCCTTGGGGTGGCACATCCCATCATCGCAGGGCTCACCATGGCTTTGTGATGCCGGGGAGGGGACAGGAAGGGTCTGTGGGGACACTCACACAAGGTGGTCCCGCAGGCAGCCCCTTGTGGCAGCGCAGGGTGCGAGGCCAGGCAGGAGAAGGCGCTGCCGTTCCTGGTGGCCGACCCCGGCTGGATGCTGGTGGCCATGGAAAAACTGCTCCCCATCACCCCCTGCTCTTCTTCCTCCTCCTCCTCCTCCTCGGGGCCCACCCAGCGCAGCCGTGCCGGGGGGAACCCCCCCAGCCAGCGGCACCGCAGCGCCACGTCCTGCACGTCCCCGGTGGCCAGTGCAGAGCAGCTTGGGCTCCCAGCAGGTGGATCTGCAGGAGACCACCGGTGCTGGGGGCAGGACACATCATAGCCCCCCCCAGCCCCAAATCACCCCTTGCACCCACATCCTCACCGGGGAAGCCGCGTTGGTCCTTCTCACCCCTCTGGGGGTTACTTACAGTAGACAGTGAGGACGATGGTGGCTTGGGTGCGGGTTTGGAGATGGGTGTTCTCAGCCAGGCAGGTGTAGGTGCCGGCCTGGGTGCGGGTGATGGCAGCGAGGACGTAGGTCTGGCCAATGTGGACCTGGGAGCCGTTGTGGAGCCAGACGTAGCGGCTGGGTGGGTTGGATGGAGCCAGGCAGCTCAGTACCACGTCCTCACGCTCGCCTGCGGAGAAGCCGCCCTGCTCCGGGCTGAAGGGCTCCACGCTGATGGCCGGCTCGTCGGGGCCATCTGCGGGGACATGGGTGCTTGAGCAGGGTCACAGCCCACCCCAGGACATCAATGGGACATCCTGAGAGAGGGTGAGCACACTGGGGTGTGTGGTGGCCATGGGGCACTATGCGGGAATAGGACACTGTGCTGGTGTGGTGGCCATGGGGGTACCATGGTAGCAAGGTACATAGTGGCCATGGGCACATCTCAGTGGTGGGGTGGCCATGGATGCATCATGGTGGCAGCAAGCTTGTTGGCCATGTCTGTATCGCAGTGGCCACAGAGGCATCCTAATGGCAGGGTGCTTATGGCCGTGGACATGCCATGGGTGCACCATGGTCATGCCCGTGCCATGCTGCATCACTCACAGACGATGTCCAGGTAGACAGGCTCGCTGGTGCGGTTGTTGACCTCGTTGCGCGCGGTGCAGATGTACCACCCGGCATGGCTGCGGTTGGCGGGTGCCAGGCTCAGCTCTGCCCCGGAGCCCCCCAGCCCCACTGGGGACACAGGGGGCCCCCCCCGTGGCTGCCGGTGCTGCCAGGAGAAGCTGAGCGGCTCCGTCCCCTCACGCACGGCGCACGTCAGGGTCACTGGAGTACCCTCTGGCGCCGCTGCTGCCGTCGGCCGTACAAAGGGCTTGGACACGGGCACTGTGGGCACCGAGCAGTGAGCGGCCCCCCTGCACCCCCACATCCCCCTTGTCCCACCCAGAGGTGAGCCTCCCAGATGGTGAATTGGCTGGTGAGGTGCGGTAGTGGCTACTGGGGTGGCTGGTGACAGCATCCATGGGCTACTGAGATGTGCTGGGAATAGGCATGGCCGGGTGTCCATGTGTGCTCTAATGAGGGCAGTTATGGGTTGGACCAATGATGGGTTGGCCAGGGCAAGGAGATGGGGATGGCTAGTAGGGGGCTACATTGGCTAGTTGGGTATTTGGTTGGCTAGTGGGGTGCTGTGCTGGCTAGTGGGACTCTATATTGGCTAGTGGGGCTCTATGCTGGCAGTGGCAGACCCCACTAGCCCATGTTCTCCATCACCCCAAGCACCGTGCTTGTGCTCCATCACCCCAGCCATGCCCCGCGGCGCCCGCAGCCCCGTGCCTTACCCAGGACACGCAGCAGGACGGCGCCGTACCCCACGCGGAGCCGGCCGTGCTCCGGGAACAGTGCCTGGCACAGGAAGCGGCCACGGGCTCCCGCTCGCAGCTCCCGCACCTCCAGGCTCCCATTGCGCAGCGACACCCGGCCCAGTGCGCCCGTGCCAGGGGCCAGCACCACGTCCCGGCCCGAGCCCACAGCCACGGCCCGCGGCGGCCCCGTGCCCCCCGCCACGAAGCTCCAGAAGACCACGGCCGGTGGAGCCCGTGCTGGGGGCCCGCAGCTCAGCTCCACCGCCCGGCCCCGCACCCCCGTCACCATCTGCTCCTCGTAGGCCGCCTCGCCCGCAGACAGCGGCTGCCCTGGGATGCACTCATCAGAGTCAGCCTGGCTCTGCCCCGCATGGATCTGGGGGGGGATTGGAGGGGGTCTTTTGGCTACTCACCCCCCACCAGTGCCGGCAGCAGGCACAGGATCCAGGGGCCCGTCCATGGTGCATGGCGGCGCTCCATGGCGCCATGTCCGATGCCGAAGCAGGGCTGCGCTCTCCGCTCCGACCTCCTCTCCTATTACTCGGGGGTAATTAGGCCCAGCCCTGATTAACTGTTAATTATTGATACCCAGCCTGGGCACGGGCAGGGGGGAACCCACCGCTGCAATCTCAGGCTGAGAACAGGAGCGCTCGCTGCAGGAATGGCAGCAAAGCCCCTTTCCCCTGCAGGGAAAACTTATCCCTACCCCATCTCCCTAATGTGTTATTGGATAAAGGAGAAGGAAACCCGCTTTTCCCCCCTTCTTGATCAAAACCACAGGGTTTGGAGCCGGGGAAGCCGGCGCCAGGCAGTGAGCATGGTTTGATATTACATCTCCTGCCGTCCAGCTCGCCCCGGCCCATCAAACATTCATCGCTGTAACGCAATGCTGGAGGGCTGGAGCATCCCACGGGAGGATTTTGGGGGACACAGGAGCCCGCTATGCCCCACCCCTAACGTTGGTATCCATATATATATTCTGGTGGTGGTGTGGGATGAGGCCTGGGAATTAGATTTAACGGGGACGGTGGCGGCAGATTCCTGCTGCCATCTAGGGGCAGTGATGGGCTTTAAGGAACTTCTTGTGGGCTGGTTCACAGAACCATCAAATCGTTCAGGATGGAACCAGCCCCAGCTGAGCCCTGGAGAACACCAGAAGTGACTGGCCACCAACTGAAATTAACTCCGTTCATCACCACGCTTTGGGCCCGGCCATCCAGCAAAGAGAATCATGGAATGGTTTGTGTTGGAAGGGACCCTAAAGCTCACCCAGCTCCAACCCCTGCCACGGGCAGGGACCCCTTCCACTGGAGCAGCTTGCTCCAAGCCCCTGTGTCCAACCTGCCCTTGAGCACTGCCAGGGATGGGGCAGCCACAGCTTCTCTGGGCACCCTGTGCCAGCGCCTCAGCACCCTCACAGGGAAGAGCTTCTGCCTAAGAGCTCAGCTCAGTCTCCCCTCGGGCAGGTTCAAGCCATTCCCCTTGGCCTGTCCCTACAGGCCCTTGTCCCAAGCCCCTCTCCAGGTTTCCTGCAGCCCCTTTAGGCACTGGAGCTGCTCTAAGGTCTCCCCTTCAGGAGCCTTCTCTTCTCCAGGCTGCCCCAGCCCAGCTCTCTCAGCCTGGCTCCAGAGCAGAGCTGCTCCAGCCCTTGCAGCATCTCCATGGCCTCCTCTGGCCTTGCTCCAACAGCTCCACGTCCCTCTTGTGCTGCTGCCCCAGAGCTGGATCAGGACTTCTCCCCAGAGCGCAGCAGAGGGGCAGGATCCCCTCCGTGAGCTGCTTCTCACACTCTGGGGGTGCAGCCCAGCATCTGTGGGGTTCTGGGCTCAAGCACACGCTGAAGCTGGGTCATGGGCAGCTTCTCCTCACTCAACACCCCAAGTCCTTCTCCTCAGGCTGCTCAATCCAGTCTCCCTCAGCCTGTGTGTGTGCTGGGGATTACCCTGACACAGGGACAGGACCTTGCACTTTGCCTTGTTGAACACCATCAGGTTCGCACATTCCCACCCCTCTAGCCTGTCCAGGTCCTTCTGTATCCCATCCCTTCCCTCCACTGTGTCAACCGCACCACCCACCTTGGTGGGCCCCCCCCGGCTCCGATGCAGAACGCAGCTTCCAGTGGAAAACCGGAGTTTGCTGCTTCCCTGCCCTCTAGACCCGGTTTTGAGGAACATCATCCTGTGCTGAGCCCCTCAGGGGATCAAATCCACCAAGTGCCAGCTGTGAGAAACTCAGAGATACACCAAGGAACAAAACCAAGGACAACACTGGCTGTAAGTGCACTGTCTTCTCAAACATCACAACAAAACCAAACAGCTTCAGGGAATTCCAAGAGAACTGGGGAACTGTTTTCACAGCAACTTTGCCTTGTTAGGAACCAAAACTAGGATCTGGTGAGTCTTCCTCACTCAGCTTCCAAGCCTCTCGATCTCATCCATGTCGCCCGGGTCCAGCTGCGTGATCTTGGTCTCTGTAAGAAGGGAAAATAGAAACAAAATGCGTCAGAGCTTGGGAAAACAGGGCCCAGCGAGGGCAGGAGCTGGCGTCTGCACTGCCTGCATGCACCGCGGGCTGGGAAGCTCCCGCCGCTGGGAATTCCATGATGCAGATCAAGGGTGGCTGCTGCGGAAGCGAGAGGCAGCCCATGCAAGAAGCAGCAGCTCGGGTGAGGTTTGAGGCTCTGCTCCCACCTCCGAGGCGATGCCGGATGGGAAGAGGGTCGTTGTCCTTGTTGGGGAGCCCCAGCCTCAAGTCATGATGTCAAAAAAGCAGACAGGAGCTCATCACTTGGATTTCCATCCCCTGCTGGGCTCCTCTGGCCAATTCCATGGTTGGACTCGGCCTCCTCGGTATTCCAGCTGCAGTTATCCAGTGCTTCTGCTGCTTGGAAAAGCCTTTGCCGGAGTATCTGGCTCACGTGTGTCCTGCCAGGCTCTGCCACCGGCTCCTTTGGGGCTTGGATTTAAAGGACAAGCTACCGGGACAGCTGGGCAGCACTGAGGAAGGGACGTGATTTTCCACACACCAAAAGGTTTTGATAACCTGCTTTTTCCTAAAAATCATAGGGAAAACATACCAGGATTTGAAAAGCCACCAGTGCAGCTACAGCATTTTGCACATTCCATGAAAAACCCTCTTGATATTCTCAAGTGGAATCTGTTTCCACTCAGGAATGACTCAGGCACCATTTCAGCTACCAGCTTCAATACTGAAGCATGGACACCACACCCCTGGGATGCAGTTTTGCCAGGTAAGGGCAGATAAAATGCCTGAAAGAGGAAAAAGAAGCGATGCTGAGGCATCCTGGGTATGTGAAATATCCCTCTCAAGTCACACACAACTTCCTTGGCTGGTTGTCTGGAAATGTCACTGCAAGGGAGGAAAAATCCCAACCCTAGAAGGGCGATGGGCTGAAGGAGCAGCCCAGTAAGCTGGAGGGGGGAATCCCAATTCCCAAACCACCCCAGGAGAGGTGGATATGAGCGGATACTCACGGAAATGCTCCTCTATCATCTTCACGAGCCCCACGTCCTGGCTCTCCACCATGCTGAAGGCGATGCCCTTCTTCCCGAAGCGCCCCGTGCGCCCGATGCGGTGGAGGTAGGTCTCAAAGTCAGGCTCTCCCCGATGGTTGGTGGGGAGGCCGAAGTTCACCACAATGGTGACCTGCTGCACATCGATGCCTGGAAGAGGAAGACAGAGGGAGGGATCACCTCACCCTGCAGGATGAAGAACCGGAGGTGAGGTGAGGGGCGCTGGGATTCGGGGTACCTCTGGCGCAGACATTGGTGGCGATGAGGACCTTCTCCTTCCCGCTGCGGAAGCGCTGGATGATGTTGGCACGATGGGCAACCGTCAGGTCTGATGTCAGCATGGCAACCTGGTGTCCCTCCTGGGACATGGCCACTGCCAGCCAGTCGGCACTCTTCCGTGTCTGGGAGAGGCAGGATGACGCGGGATGAGGTGCTGCTGTGGCTTTGCCAGCATCCCTTCACTCCCAGAACACATGCCACCGATATTCCCCTATCCCAAGTCCCCTGCTCCTTCCAGAGAGCTCCTGGTGCTTCCCAACACCTCAAATAAGGCAAAACATGATGTAGACAAGCTCAAAGCCTCTACCAGGACACGCTTTGAGGGCAGGGACATGCAGTGTGTTTCCATGTCACACATGGACCTCCCCATACTCCAAGGTGCTTTACCTGGCAGAAGATCATGGCCTGTCCGATGGTGATGCCACCATAGATGTTGCAGAGAGCTTCGTACCTCTCCTCCCTGCTCCTGCACACAAAGAAGAACTGCCGGATGTTGCTGAGGGTGAGCTCGTTCTCCCGCAGCATTAGCATGATGGGGTTGGAGACGATTTTCTCAGCAAACTCCCGCACGGTTGACTTGAAGGTGGCCGAGAACAGCAGCATCTGGCAGCTCTTGGGGAGAGCCCTGGGGAGAAGGAGAAGGACTTGTCAGCCTGGCTCCTGGATGGACTCATTAGAAGGAGGGGAAAAGGTAATTTAAGGTGATTTTGTGCTGTTGTAAAGGCTCAAAGGAAAGGGAATTGTGACAAAAGCCTTGCTTGCTGTCCAATGGACACAGATTTACAGAGCCACATCCCTGGACTAAGCAAAGCACATGCACAAACATTGATCTCATAGCAGCAAACCCCCTGCGCATCACAGGGACACTCTTCTGTTGCTGCTTCAGCTCATCTTGGGAGACGAATTCTCCCTCACTTCCCTCAAAGAGGGTTAAATCCATCAGGAACACCCACCTCTGGATGCGGATGCTCTGACTGGAGAGGCCCTGTGTGTCGATCATGATGTCAGCTTCATCCAGCACGAAGAGAATGATCTTCTTCAGGTCCACAACCTTCTGCTTGAAACACCAATCCAGCATCGTTCCCGGTGTCCCGATGATGATCTGCTCCTTTATCACAGTGCCCTGAAGGACTGCCAGAGAGTAAATGAGACCATGTCCCTCCTTCAGCTATCTCGGGGCTCCAGGAGGGGGTCCCAATGCTCCCATGGTGCCAGTGGCTCCAGGCAGGACTCACCTCGGTTCCCCCGGATCGCATACGCAACCCTGATGTCGGCACAAAACCGCCCGATGCCCTCGATCACAGACCCGATCTGCAGCGCCAGCTCGTAGGTGGGAGCCAAGCAGAGGCACTTGGGGGGAAATAAAGAGTTCTCAGACCAGAAATGCTTTGTTTAAAAGCCAAGGATACTCCCAGGATGGGAAACACCAGGCAGACACAAGGGGCAAACAGGAAAATCCCACGCTGCAACACCTGAAAGTGCAGGGGGATTGGGAGTTGATCAGATCTGAGGTCAGGGAGCTGGGAACATGGCCCAGCTGCAGGGATATAGACAGAAAGGAATCACTGTAACTGGTTCGGGGGGGGATACTGGTCTCCTGAAAGATGGTGCAGCTCATTTCCATGCCCAGCTTTAAAGCAACAGCTTAAATCACCCCATACATTGGAGATGAGTGGTCCCAAATGGCCGCAACCTGCTGCCACAGCAGGTTCTGCACGCAGGGAGGTGACCACGGATCACGGGGGTGTTTAAACCACCAGAAACCCAGAAGCTTCTCCATTTGCTTTTCCAAGTTTAAATTCCAGGCTATCTAACGCCTGGCTTAAGGTAGCAAGAAGTGCCTCCTTTCAGCAGGCACCACACCTTCTGTCCTACCTGCTGCTGCAATGGTACCTGGGGGTTCATCATCCCCTTCCAGCGGATAAAATCACAAGGAAGCAGGGACAAACCCCTGGGATCTGCCCCCAGGCAGCATTTCAGGGCTTGGGCAGGCCCTCCTGCATCAGCTTTCCCTTTCCCTATGTTACCTGTGGGTATTTCTCGGTGGCATTAGCTCTGCTCAGCATGGCCAAGACAAAAGCTGCTGTTTTCCCTGTCCCTGACTGGCTCTGGGCAATCAGATTTTGGGGCCTGCAAGGCAAAGATGGCTTAGGGGAATGCGAGGGTTGGGGCGCCTCGAGGGAGACGGGGTTCACCACGGGGCATTGCTACTCACGGGTACGCCAGCATCATCGGCAGAGCTGTCTCCTGGATTTTGGATGGTCTGTTGAAGTCCATCATGTAAACACCCTGTAAAAGCTCCTTTTTCCTGTGAAAACATCAGAAAACCCATCAGAAACGCTCAGTTTGGGGAGTGCTGGTGACTCTTTAAGGGGGGGGGGGGGCGACACACACACACACACTCACAGGGGCAGCTCCTCGAAGCTTCTGATGGAGTACAGTGGGGAGCTGGGGTCCCGCTGCAGGATCTGTACGTTGTGGTAGGACTCCACCAGGGATGTGCGGATCAGCTTGTTCAGCAGCGAGGTTTCGGCTGGCACCACTGGATAAGGCAAGAATTCATTAAAAGGGCCAGTGTTGTTTAGAGTTATCACTGACTGATGAGGGGATGGAGAGCACCCTCTGTACATCTGCAGAGGACACCAAGTTGGGTGGGAGTGTTGATGTGCTGGAGGGCAGGAGGCTCTGCAGAGGAAGCCAGACAGGCTGGATGGACTGGATGTGACCAATGGGCTGAGGTTCAACAAGGCAAAGCGCCGGGTCCTGCATCTGGGCCACAACCACCCCATGCAAGGCTCCAGGATCCCAAATCACGACACCGAGCTTATCCCCTTCCCTGCCACACAGGGCTCGGGCTGTCCCCCCTCTTGGGGACCCCGACACCGCTGAGGTGGAGGGCTCTGCCCCCCCCGCTGCAGACACTTAACCTTTCTCCTCCTCCTCCTCCTCTTCTTCATCCCCCTCCTCGTCGCCTCGTCCAGCTGTGGGAGGAGAAGTGAGGTTGAGGCGGGCGTGCCGACCGGGCCCTCCCCGAGGCGGGGCCGGGGCCGGGGCCAGCGCTCACCGCGGCGGCACACGAAGGGGTCCCGGCAGCTCTGCGGGCCGCAGGGCGCGGGCAGGTTCCGGGAGGTGGCGGTGGATCCCGGCGGGAAGACGCAGGGAAGCGGCAGCAGCCCCGCAGGACCGGCGCGGCCCAGCCCGGCCTCCCAGCGGCCGCTGTCCCCGGCCTCCGCCATGACGCCCTCCTGCCACCGCTCCTGAGGCACAGACGCGGGGAGAGGCGCCCCCTGGCGGGCGGGAGGAGCGCGGGGGGGAACCGGACGGGGCAGGCGCTTCCGGGGCACCGGCACCGCAGGTAGGAGCGGGGATGTGGGCCCGGGGCGGATGGGGTTCGGGGCGAGAGGAGCAGGGACCTACCAGGGTTTCAGGAGGTCTCTGGGGTGATGGGGGGCACGGACTGACCCATGGAGGGGGTGGAAATGGGGCGCTGGGGATAGGGACCCCGTAAGGTCCCGCAACGTGTTGGGGGGTGCTGGGGACAAGGACCCTATAAGGGTACAGGACAGGGACCACATGGGGTGCCAGCACTGCGCCCCACAGGGTTTTGGGATGTTCCTAGGGTGCTGGAGGACCAGGGGCCTTGTGGAGTGGTGTTGCTGTTCCTCATAAGGTTTTGGGTGGGTCCCTGGGGTGCCAAAGGAGCAGGGACGCTGTAGCGTGGTGGCAGTGTCCCCCATAGGGCTTTAAGGAGTCCTTGGGTGCTGGGCGCAGACACCTCTATAGGGGGGGGTCCACAGGGCACTGGAGCACGGGGTGCCAGAACTGGCCCGTGTGGGGTGACAGCAGGGAGTCCCTCATCCCCCACCCCAGAGGAGGTTTTAGGGACCCAACATGGGGTTCCCACTGTCACCTGCTTCGCATCCTTCCCATGCCCTCTTCCAGCCATTCCCTGATGTTCTGGGGACCTCTACTGCACAAATCACCAAACTGCTGGAAATATGGGGGGAAAACCAGGAAAATCATGAGGATAATGTTGGGTTTAATTCCCCCTAAAACGTGTTTTAAAAACAAGGTAAAGTGGGGCTAAGTGAGGCACAAAGATGAGCCTGGAGTAACAGGTATAGGCTGAGGGGGTGAGGAAACATCTCTGATTAACCCACAAGACAATAAGGAATCTTTCCACACATTTTATTAGAGATATTGCCATAAATAAAACTTCACGTGAGAATCCAGGAGCACTCAAATCCCAAAGATCCTTACATCCTGATTCCTAATGCCCCGAACCTGAACTCGGGAGGAAGCTTTTCCCTCTGCGCTAGGTGAAGTTTTAATACCAGGATTTAACCCTTTAGAAATGCATAAAAAAAAGGGGAGATTTCCCAAATTATCAAGGATTTTGAGGGGGAAAAATGCATTCGGTGTGTGGGGTTCAGAGTTATCTGTATGGAGCAGGCCTAGATGGAGGTGGCTTTCCTGGGAATGAGGCCGTTGGCCAGGTCCCAGCGCACTTCCCAGCGCAGGGCAGCTCTCTTCTTCTCAGTGGGCACCATGTAGGTGTTGGGGACATAGAGGTGTTGTGGTGGCTTCCCAGGAAGCTCAGCCTTGCAGAGCATCTGCTCCCGGATGCTCCAGCGCAGTTCCTGCCGCTGATCCTCTCCTGGGATCCGGAACTTCTCCCATTCTCGTTTATACTCAAAGTATTTGGCCACTCGGTCGGTTTTCCCCCTGTTCCGTCCCAGCAGCTCGAGCCGTGGTGGGATGAAGGATTTGGGTTGTCCCCCTGTGTACTGAGAAACAGGAGAGCTCCTGCTCCTGAAATCCCCAGGGAGAAAGGGGGAGCTGTCCAGAGGGAGCCACTGGCACAGAGATTCATCATGGGAGCTGCTGCTGGTCTCAATCTCCCCCTCAGAGATGCTGTCATCTGGCTCAGACAATTCCTGACTGGGGCTCCAAACCTCGGGATTGCTCTCGGGCTCGCTGGGCACCGACTCATCAGACACCTCCACTGCCCCATCGGGCCTGTGCCTCAACACCTTCCTTTTCATGACCAGCCTCCTGGCTCCTCTCTTCTCCTTGGAACATCGAGGAAAGCCTGGCTGTGTTCCCAAAGTGAGGGAGGCATCGACATAGGGATCGTGGTGGGGGTGTGCCCACTGCTCGCTGCCTCCACGCTGGGGGTACCGCGCTGCAGCTGGCGACTCCTCGGCATCCAGAGTGGTCCATTCATACCTGTCTGCTCCCATTGTATCCATGATTTTCACCAGATGGGTGGATTCTGCAAAGAAACAGTAAAGCAGAGTTAATTCCTTGCAGCACTTGGAGCTGAAGACATAAAGTGGGCTCTGACATTCAGCTGCTGAATATCCTGCTGCCAGCAGAAGGCTCTTCACCTACAGCAGTGCAGATATAAACCTCCCCCATCCACAAGGAAACCCCCAAATTCCATCCTAAAAACAGCACTGAAATTAATTCAGTGATATATAAGGTACTAACAAGATGATGGACAAGCACAGGGTGGATTCAGTTTGCTGTGTAATAGATTTTCCCCTTGTACCTGCTCTTAAAAACATGGAATTGACTCATGATTTAATCCAGGGATGGCCAAGAAGATTTTACTCCCACAGAAGAAAAGGCTCATTGCAGCCCAAAGGCTGAGTGTGATTATGGTATTCCTCAGGAGCTGTGCTGAAAAGGGATCTAGAGACGGATTCCAGTCGTGACACAGGTTTAGGATGACTGGTTTGGAAAAGAGAGAAGGAAAACTCCAGTTTGAAGCGTGATGTTATGAAATGCTGGAGCAGATGGTGTGGTGAGATGAGTGGCAGGTGTTAGCGAGCTGTCTGGTGTGGTGGTGCTGGCTCAGCGGGCTGGGGAATGGAAAAGGCTCCACCATGGTGTGGATAGCACAAAGCCAGCTGGGAATGCCAGATCCCACAGAACACTGAGAGGTTAAAACAATAAATTATTCCGTGGGTAATGATTATTTCATAGAGCAAAGTGATAGATGTGATAAAGCCACATAAAAATGTGATTTCCTTCTTTGCAGAACCTGAGGAGCCCCCGGCACCTGCGGAAGGCTCCAGGACTATGGCTGAGGGGAGCACGGCTGCTGATCAGGAGCGACTCTTGAGAAGGGTGCAGGAGCTGGAAGAGGAGGTGAGGAGGCTGCGGGAGAAGCTGCGAGAGGATGAGGAGGGCGTTGTGAAACAAGAGGCTCCATCAGCCCCAGGGAAGAGCAAGAAACGCCAACAACGGCCGTTTGATTTCGGAGCCTACGGCCGCAGACACGTGGCACTGAAGATCTCCTACCTGGGCTGGGGCTACCAGGGCTTTGCCAGCCAGGAGAACACCACCAACACCATTGAGGAGAAGCTCTTTGAAGCCTTGAAGAAGACACGGCTGGTAGATGACAGACAGACATCCAACTACCACCGCTGCGGGCGGACGGACAAAGGAGTCAGTGCGTTTGGACAGGTCAGTATCCCCCCCTGCTGGGGCTCTTCCTGGGTTTCTGGGCTCCTGTTTTAAGAGGATGAAACATGGTTTTCAGGCTGCAGCTTCCCAACAGCCCAGAAAGGAAGATGCCCCTTCCTTGCAGAGCCCTGGCAACTGATTTAACTGGCTCACCCTAACAAAAAATGAAATAGAATCCAAGAATTGGATCTCTTCCTGGGGAGCCAGGCAGCCCAATTCCTGCGCAGAAGGGTCTGGGGGTAGCTGGAGCGGAAGGGAGCGTGGGAGAGGGAGGGAGTGAAGCGATGGCTTCATCGCCAGGCCAGTCTCTGCTTCCCTCCTGCCTTGGGAATTGGAGCCAGCTCAGCTCTTGCTTCAGATGTCTGCTCTCCTTCATGTGATGTGCCACATGGAATAGGGCAGGGGCCGGCTTTCCTTGTGCTGTTTGAAGCATGCAAGCACCTGCAGTGTTCATTAACTTGCTCCCACAGCAGGTTTCCCAGGCAGCCAGGCTGTTATTGCCTTAAACCATCACCTCCAGACAAAAAAAAATATAAGTGAAATAATAAAAAAGCACATTATATCCAAAAAAACAGGGCCTAAAGTCGAAGCAGTTTTGAGCTACGTAGGCAGCCTGCAAGTTTCTGTGTTATTAAAGGAATCTCTAGCATCTGCTGGGAACCTGAGCAGAGGCAGCTCTTCCCGCAGGAAGGAGTGGGGAGATGGCCCCATTTGAGACACCTTCCTCTGGAGGAGATCCTGAATTTATTTCACAGTGGTGTAGGAAGACTTGGCTCCCCAGAATACACCCATCTGCCATTTCTTCCTGGCATTCCTCATTTTGCAGGTGATCTCCCTCGATCTCCGCTCCAACCTGCTGGAGGGGCAGAAGCTCAATGGCCACAGGGGTGCCTCGGAAGGGAAAAGCGAGGAGGAGCTCCGCTACACCCATATTCTGAACAGGGTGCTCCCACCCGACATCAGGGTGCTGGCCTGGGCCCCCGTGGAGCCTGAATTCAGCGCCAGGTTCAGCTGCCTCAAGAGGACCTACCGGTACTTCTTCCCCTGTGCCAACCTGGATGTGGGGCTCATGCACACCGCGGCCCAGAGGTATGTGGGGACGCATGACTTCCGTAATCTCTGCAAAATGGATGTTGCCAACGGGGTGGTGAACTTCCAGAGGACGATCCTGAGTGCTGGAGTGACGTGGGTTGAAGGAGGAGGAGGAACAGGCCCGCAGGATCCCTTCCATCTGTGCCAGTTTGAGGTGACAGGCCAAGCGTTCCTCTATCACCAAGTGCGCTGCATGATGGCCATCCTCTTCCTCATCGGCCAGGGGATGGAGAGCCCAGAGGTCATTGATGAGCTGCTGGATGTGGAGAAGAACCCTCAAAAGCCACAGTACAGGTATGGGAAGCTTGGGAAAACTTGCTGGGCTGCTTGTCGAGGCGATGGCTGTGTGTGAAGTGCTGCTGGCAAGGCAGTTCTCTGCCAGCCTGCGAAGCAGTCTCTCACAATATGGAAGCAAGCTGCCAGCGGCCTCTCCGGGAGGTATCCATAAGGATCTCAGTTTTGCTGCTCTCAGACAAACTTTATGGCTTTAGTCCATGGTATATGGTAAAAGCTAATTCAGTTTTTAAAGGCAAAGGGAGTTCTGTAAAAGACAGGGCTGCTTTTGGCAGAGGGCAGGGTGTTGTGTGAGCCTTTTCTGTCACAGATCCCTCCAGACAGTGACAGCTAACACTTCCCTCCTCTTCCCCAGCATGGCAGTAGAGTTCCCTCTCGTCCTGTATGACTGTGAGTTTGAGAACGTTCAGTGGCTCTACGACCAGGAGGTACAGGAGTTCAATGTCACACACCTGCAGCAGCTCTGGGCCAGCCACGCCGTCAAAACCCAAGTGCTGCGCAGCATGTTGCAGGGGTTAGATGCTGCTCCTGTGGCTACAGGCAAAGGTAAGGGATGGGTTTGTGGCAATATCTGGGTCAGGGCAATCCCAGCTACAGTTTTGGTGGAAAAGTGCTTCAGAGCAGCCCTGAGAAGGACTTGGGGGTGTTGGGTGAGGAGAAGCTGCCCATCACCTGGCTTCAGTGCGCACCTGAGCCCAGACCCCCCCAGATGCTGGGCTGCACCCTCAGAGCATGAGCAGCAGCTCAGGGAGGGGATCCTGCCCCTCTGCTGTGCTCTGGGAAGACCCCCCCGGCAGTCCTGATCCAGCTCTGGGGCAGCAGCACAAGAGGGACGTGGAGCTGTTGGAGCGAGGCCAGAGGAGGCCACGGAGATGCTGCGAGGGCTGGAACAGCTCTGCTCTGGAGCCAGGCTGAGAGAGCTGGGCTGGGGCAGCCTGGAGAAGAGAAGGCTCCTGAAGGGGAGACCTTAGAGCAGCTCCAGTGCCTAAAGGGGCTGCAGGAAACCTGGAGAGGGGCTTGGGACAAGGGCCTGTAGGGACAGGCCAAGGGGAATGGCTTGAACCTGCCAGAGGGGAGACTGAGCTGAGCTCTTAGGCAGAAGCTCTTCCCTGTGAGGGTGCTGAGGCGCTGGCACAGGGTGCCCAGAGAAGCTGTGGCTGCCCCATCCCTGGCAGTGTTCAAGGCCAGGTTGGACACAGGGGCTTGGAGCAAGCTGCTCCAGTAGAAGGTGTCCCTGCCTGCATAGGGGGTTGGAGCTGATGAGCTTTAAAGTCCCTTCCAACTACAAACCAGTCTGGGATTCTATGAATATCACAGAATTACAAAGGTTTGAAGGACAGAAGAGGGAATTAAGTAGATTGTTCAAACCATGGGTGTTGTTTTTGTTGCATCACAGGTGAGGAGAGCAGCAGCACCATCCTCTGGGCAGCCCGGCAGCCCCCTCTCTGCCGCCAGGCCAGTGGCTTTGTGGAAGGTGTCCGAGCCCGCACGTACAAGCCTTTACTGTCCCGCCCCAAGTGCGAGGGGCTGGAGGCCCGTATCCAGCACTTCGTGCAGCGGGGCCGCATCCAGTCCCCCCTTGGGCTGGAGCTGGAGGGGGACGGGGACCAACAGGCTCCTGAGAGCAAGAGGAGCCACAGCAGGGATGTCCAAGAGCAGCCTCCCAAGCGGGTCTGCATGGATATGGAGTGATGGTGACGGGTCACCTCAGCAAGAGGGCATCTCAACCCTTTGCTTTTCGTACAACTGGTAAAAATATGCCATTTTCTAGTGCTATTTTTATAAATACCAAGTAAAGCCACATCTGTGTGTGTCTGGTTCTGGGCTCCTCAGTGCAAGAAAGACAAGGAGGTGCTGGAGAGGGTCCGGCAGAGGCCACAGGGATGCTCAGGGGTCTGGAGCATCTCTCTGATGAGGAGAGATTGTGGGAGCTCCTGGGGAAGAGCAGCCTGAGAGGGGATCTCATCAATGCAGACCAATAGCAACGAGGTGGGTGCCAGCAGGATGGTGCCAGACTGTTTCCAGTGGTGCTCAGTGCCAGGATAAGGAGCAACGGCCATAAAGTAAAACACACCAAGTTTCACTTCAACATGAGGAAGGACTTGTTCCCATTGCGGGTGTCAGAGCACTAAACAGGCTGCCCAGGGCGGCTGTGAAGTCTCCCTCTATAGAGACATCCAAATCCCACCAAGGACACGTTCTTGTGTGACCTGCTCTGGGTGGCTTTGGACTGGCTCATCCCCAGAGGGCTCTTCAAGCCTAATGGTTCTGTGGAGTGCCAAGGAACGCGGCTGGGTCCTCCTCTGGGGGGAATGGAGGTGCCTCAGCCCCCTCACAACACCGAGGCGACCCCGGCCCGTGCCAGCCCGACCCCCGCCTCCCCGTGGTACCTGTGAGGGCCCGGCCGCTCCCGTGCTCCCTTCGCGACCGTTACCGGTAGCAGCCGCCGCCGCGCTTCAAACCGCCAGGGCTGAGGCGGAGCCGTCCGCTGAGGCCGCCCTGCGCAGCGACACCATTGGGCGGCACAGCCCTCGCTCAACTCGATGGCCCCTTCCGATTGGGCGAGAGGGCTGAAGGGCCGCCCCCGTGCCACTGCCATTGGCCGGTAAAAAGGCGAGGGGAAGGAAGAAGGAGGAAGCAAGATGGCGGCGGCCAGCGGCGGGGCTCTGCGGCGGAGTGTGGCGGGCCTGGCCCGGGCGGCGCGCACCTTTTGCGGCTACGGCAGCAGGAGGGCAGCGGCGGAGGAGAAGAAGGGGCCGGTGCGAGCTGAGTATCTGGCGGAGCGGCTGCGAGAGCGGAAGAGGGAGGAAAAGCAGCGAGAGGTGAGCGGGGCGGGACCGGGCCCTGAGAAGCGGGACTCCAGCTCCTATCGTGCACCGCGGTCAGACGTGCGGTGCAGGCAGGCGCTGTGGGAGCCCGTTTATCCCTCAGCGCTCTCGGTGCCTTGTCTCGTCAGGTCCCTAGAGACCCCGCGCAGAGGCGGGTGCGGAAGCTGGCCATGGTGAGCGCGGGGCTGCAGCACGTTCACCCCAACGTCCTGGCCAAAATGCTGAAGCAGGCAACAGTGTACCAAAACGAGGAGATCGTGGTGATCAACAAACCCTACGGGCTGCCTGTGCACGGTGAGGGGCAGCTGGCCATGTATGCAGCGGTGCCGTGGGGTGGCAGTGGCCTCCATGGCACTGACAGGGGAGCCTCTGTCTCAATCATACAATCACAGTATTGGTTTGGGTTGAAGGGATCTTAAAGCTCACCTTGCCACGGACAGGGACCCCTTCCACTGGAGCAGCTTGCTCCAAGCCCCTGTGTCCAACCTGGCCTTGAGCACTGCCAGGGATGGGGCAGCCACAGCTTCTCTGGGCACCCTGTGCCAGCGCCTCAGCACCCTCATAGGGAAGAGCTTCTGCCTAAGCTCATCTCAGTCTCCCCTGTTTCAGTTTGAACCCATCATCCCTTGTCCTATTGCTACAGTCCCAGCATCCTTACAGCCCCCTTCAGACACTGGAAGCTGCTCTGAGGTCTCCAAGCAGCTTCTTTTCTCCAAGCTGAACAGCCCCAACTTTCTCAGCCTGGCTCCAGAGCAGAGCTGTTCCAGCCCCCTTATCATCCCCATGGCCTCCCTGCCCTGGGAGGGATGTCACCTTTAGATCCCAGCCTCCATCTCACACTCGGGGGCTAACTTAGGGTACATGGGAGGTGAACATTCCCCCTGACTGCTTTGCCCACGGGTTTTGCAGGTGGCCCTGGGATCAAGAATTGTATCACTGATGTGCTGCCAATTTTGGCCAAGATGTTGGAGAACATGAAGGCTGAACCCCTCCACCTCTGCCACCGGCTGGACAAGGAGACCACGGGTGTGATGGTGCTGGCGCGGAGCAAAGAGACAGCAGACAGGATCCGGCTTCTCTTCAAGACTCGTCAGGTGGAGAAGATCTACTGGTAGGAAACATGTGGGTGGACAAGTGGCTCTGAAGGGGCTGTCCCCTGGGCGTGTTGTCGAAGTGGTGGCTTGTCTTCTTTACCCACCTCTTTGGGGAGAAGGGCTGAGGGGAGGGATCCCTTCATGCTGGAGCAACACCCACAGACTTCTGCTTTCCCTCCCCAGGGCAATCAGCCTGGGGGAGCCAGACCCCACTGAGGGCATCGTGGACATCCCCATCGTGGAGAAGGAGGTGCAGAGCCACCAGTCGCACTACAAGGTGAGCCATGCATCCTCTCATCCTCATGCTCCCCATCCCCAGCTCTTTCCTTTGCCTCCCCATGGGCTCACCCTGTTGTCACTGCTCAGAGGACGCTGGCCCCCAGCTACCGCATGTCTCCAGAGGATGGGAAGGTGGTGAGAATCCGGAGGAACCGGAGTGCTGAGAGCGCCGTGACACGGTACCGGCTCCTGGCCAGCTCTGCTGCCTGCTCGCTGCTGGAGCTCCAGCCCATCACCGGTGAGGCCTGGATGGGTGGCCCCGCATCGTGTGAGCTGCTTTCTGTGTGGCTGTGCAGCCAAGAGCAGTGCTGGAAGTGGGAACTCATTGTTAGACAGGATAAGAATCCTATCTGGGACAAGGATCTGGGAATAGTCACATGAGCAGCAGTCAAGGGAGGGGATTCTCCCCCTCTGCTATGCTCTGGGGAGGCCCCCCCCTGCAGTCCTCATCCAGCTCTGGGGCAACAGTGTTCAAGGCCAGGTTGGACAGGGCTTGGAGCAAGCTGCTCTAGTGCAAGGTGTCCCTGCCTGTGGCAGGGGGGTGGAACTGGATGAGCTTTAAGGTCCCTTCAACAGAAACCATTACACGACTCTGATAAGCCATCCCTGGGCATTGGTTTGCTCCTGGGCCATCCTCTGGGTGGTGGATGGGAGCTGAGGCCTGGCACGGCTGGTTGTCATGTTTCTCCTCTCTCCTTTTCTTCCTCAGGGGTGAAGCACCAGATCCGGGTTCACTTGGCCTATGGCTTGGGCTGCCCTATCCTGGGGGATCACAAATACTCCCACTGGAGCAAGTTGGCACCTCAGGTAAGGCAGGTCCAGGGCTGGGTGGGCAGCCAGAGCCACATCCACTTGCAGCAGCGCCCATGTGTTTCCCAGCTCCCCATGAGCTGGGGTTTCCAAGTGCTGTCTGAAGAGCTGGGGTTGCAGAAAGGATCTTTTCTGTCCTCACCACAGAAGCTTCCTAAAGTCACCTTGAAGAGGCTGAAGCTGGAGCAGAGCAAGGCTCGCCACCTCCCGCTCCACCTGCATGCCCACCGGCTCTCCCTGCCCCTGGGCGAGCGGCTGGATCTCGTCTGCAAACCACCCCTCTTCTTCCACAAGACTCTGAGGAACCTGGAGCTGGACTTTGACAAAGATTAACAGGGCAGGAAGGGAGAGGTGGCATGGATCTCCACATCCCTGGCATGTGTAGTGCTGCATCCTGGTGCTTGTCAGCAGTGTCCACCTTGGAGACAGCGGTGAGATGAAGTCCACAGTCCCTGCTGCTTGCCAGACACCTCCTCTGTTGGTACTGGGCTCCAAACCAGGTACCTGTGGGTGCTTCTTGCCCTGATTTGGTACAGAAAAGCAGCTGGGCACACTGAAGAGACACTAGTTTGGTCAAATGAGGCTGTGTAGAAACTGGGCTTTGCCCAGTCGTGATTGGAACTTGTCTCTGAGCAATAAATGGTCCTGTTGGTGCCGAGGTGAAGGGCTTTGTGTCTCTGTGCTTGGTCCCGGGCAGGTTTGATTGGTGCAGTCCCATTTGAGGACTGTCACTCGGCCTTCCAGAGCCATTTAGAGTGCCTACCCTGGCACTCTGTGCTCCAATTTGGAGAGTCCCTTCCTTGGAAAGTCCATGAAAAGTGCAATTTGGCAACGGCTGGGCTGGGAATTCCTCTGCTTGGCTAGGCTGCACAGCTCCTGGACTCCCTTTGCAGTGTCAGTGCTGTTTTTGGGCACAGCATATGCTGCTGGGAGAGACTTTCCTGTCCCTCTGCCCCTTCCAATTCTAGATCCCATTATCAGCATCCTTCTCCCTCGGGAGCTGCCTCGAAGCCAGATTCCTTCCCCTGTGCCCCAAGATTGAAAAGCTGAGGAATGGCAGCACCAGCATTTGGTGTCTCTTGGCCTGTCCCCAAAGCACAAGTTGGTTTAGGTGCTGGAAAAGGCTCTCTGTCGCCTGTGGGGCTACCACATACCTTGGTGGGGTGTCCCAGTAGGGTAACACCCTGTGCCCTACCACCCTGTGCTTCAAGCGGGTGAAAATAGCTGAGGACCCCCCACCCTCCTCAAAAGCACCCAGAAATACATCTGCTTATGAGAGAGGGATGCAAAACCACACAGAGCCAGGCTGGAATTCCGCCTTCCCAGCCTGCTGCCACGGCTGCCTGGGGGTTTGTTTTCTATTTCAGGCCGTGCTGTTTGGGAAAAGGCTTCCCCCTGTAATTACCAGTGGATTCAAGGCGGTGCCTGAGCTCTCATCCCAGCTGCCTGGTAGGGATGGCTTGGCAAGAGATGCTTCCAGCCCTACAAAGCCACTCCTTGAGCTGGGCACACCTCAGACGACACCAGAGCCCCCAGGCAGCAGCAGCAGCAGCAGCATCGTCTCCTCTTCCTCCATACAAAGATGTCCCTCTCGCACACAGCCGCTGAGTACATGCTCTCCGATGCTCTCCTCCCAGATCCCGGCGGATCCCGAGCCAAGGGCCTGCGGCTGGAGCTGCCCAGCGATCGCCTCCTCAAGTTCATCACTGTGGGGCTTCCCCTCTTCCTCGTCTCCCTGGCTTTCGCCCGGGAGTTCTCTGCTGGTGAGTCCTGGTTTTTGAATGGGAATCTTCAGGATACGGTTTGGTTGTCACTGGGAAACACTTGTGGTCTCACCGATGTGGCTGTGGTCCCAGGTGGGGCAGCCTGGCAATGCTGGTTTAGGAATCATTCTGCCTCAGGGATGTTTATTGATTGGTTTTAATGCATTATTGGTTGCTGGGGAAGCTGGGAATAGCCATGCTAAACCCCAGCACCAGTGGTGGATCAATGCCCCACCTCAGCTGCTTGCCCCCAACCCCTTTGGGTGTTGCTGGTGAGGAGGAGGAGGGTGGTGGCAGGGCAGCTCAGAGAATACATCCCACAGGAATCATAGGATGAATCCCAGACTGGTTTGGGTTGGAAGGGACCTTAAAGCTCATCCACAGGCAGGGATACCTTCCACTAGACCAGGTTGCTCCAAGCCCTGTCCAACCTGGCTTTGAACACTGAAGGACAGCACAAAGGGTTTCATTGATGGAGCGTTGTGACCTCAGGCTAAATCTGGCCTTGGCCAATGTCCTGCTGCTGCCTGTGAGGGTTTGGTTTGACTTTGGTTTCTGGCTCATCTCTAATTGCCCCATAGTGCTCAAAGGGTCTGTGTTTGGGAAGTGATGGAAAATGCAGCAGTGGGGAAGGACAGCTACAAAATGACTTGGAAAAAGGGGGGTTTGTAATTCCAAGTGATGCCTGACATGTAATCACCCTCCCTGGACCCCCATGGCTGAGGTACACCCTTCTGCTCACCCCAGGCTCACAGATCAGCTGCTTCTCCCCCACCAACTTCACTGGGAAGCAGTCAGCCTATGTCGACACGGCTTGCTGGGACTCCCTTGTCCACCATGGCTTGGACACCGAGGGACACGCTGTCACCAAGTCCCTGTGGGTTCTCAAGGTACATGTCCAGCTCACATCTGGGTGCCCTCAGGTCCCACCTGGGTGTGCAGCAGAGCTGAAGCAACTCCTCTGCTTATCTCCTTTCCCCCAGGTCTTCCCCTACTCGCTGCTGGTGGTGGCGGTGCTCATGTACCTGCCATACCTGCTGTGGCGTTACGCGGCCGCCCCTGCCCTCCACTCCGACCTCCTCTTCATCATCGACGAGCTGGACAAGTCCTACAACCGCTCCGTGCGCCTGGTGCAGCACATGAGGAAGGTGCAGCAGGCCAGTGCTGAGCCCGAGCGCTTCTGGGAGGAGTATGAGAGGTGAGGCCCTTGGGAAGCCTCCTCATCCCACTGCTGTTTCTCCCCATGGTGTTGTGGCTGTGGCCACGTTCAGGATGGGCTTCGGTTAAGGGACTTGCTTGGGGGGTGGCTCTAACCCCCCTCTGTGTCCCCAGGGCCCGCCAGGAGAGGTATTTTGAGTTCCCGTTGCTGGAGCGCTACCTGACCTGCAAGCAGCGCGCTCACTCCCTGGTGTTCATCTACATCCTGAGGAACCTGCTGCTGCTCGTGTTCTTGGCTGCCACCTGCCTCTACCTGGTCTTCCTCCACCTCAACATCTTCTTCCAGGATGAGTTCAACTGCTCCATCAAAACAGGGCTGCTCCAGGCGGAACCCCACATCCCACCACTCATCCCCTGCAAGCTGGTCTTCTTCTCCATCTTCCAGCTCATCAGCCTCTCGGTTGGTGGTGTCTATGTCCTCCTCATACCCGTGGTCATCTACAACGCCCTGCAGCTCTGCCAGTGGGACAAGGGGCTGCTCTCTGTCTATGAGATGCTGCCTGCCTTCGACCTGCTCAGCCGCAAGATGCTCACCTGCCCCGTCAACGACCTCAACGTCATCCTCCTCTTCCTCCGCGCCAACATCTCCAAGCTGACGTCCTTCAGCCGCCTCAATGCTGTCAGCGCCCTGAGGGAAGCCACCACCAACAAGGAGGACATCGACACTGTCATTGACTTCATGACGCTGCTGGCAGGGCTGGAAACCACCAAGCCCAAACACCACCATGCTTGTGCCCCTGATGGCAGCACGCCCCAGTCCAACGGCAGGGCCCCAGGTAGGATTTGGTGGTAGAGATGACTTCTTCACTCTCCTTTTGGCTCCCACATGCAAGATCCTGTCCTGGGGGTGAGGCTGGATCCATCCACCATTAAAGCCCTAAACCCTTTGGCCAAGATCTGCAGGTTTTGGGGGGGATTTGTGGGGCTGAGAGCTCCGTTTCCAGCCAGGAATGGGCTCTGGCAGCCGGGATGCGATGCTACTGCGAGCCCACGCGTGGGCAGGAGTTGCTATAGGAACAGAAAGCGGAGAGTTTGGCACTTAAATCCAAGCTCTGGGCAAAACCTGACCCCCCCCAGCAGTGGTTTCTAGGCTCTGGGAGACAGCTCATCCTGTCTCATCCCAGCAGGATGGGAGCCAGGAGGCCTGGGCTCCTTTCCTGGCCCTGGGGGTTTTGGTTTCCAATGAGAAAACCACCCAAAACCCCCCAGATTGCTGTATTTAGCATCTTTGTTGGCATGGCAACCACGGGGCTAGCACAACAGGCTCTTGGGCTACTGGCAACTGGTGGTGGAAGCCCAAGACCCCAGTCTGTGATCACCCCAATAACTAACTTCCTCCTCTTTGTCTAGAAATGAAGCCTGGAGTGGAAGCAATGGGAAAAGCCTCTCGGGACTCACTCGGCTCTGCCTGACCCCAAGAGCAGGCTGCAGGCAGAGCAGCTGGGATCCAGTTGGATTCAGTTCCTTATTGCCAGCATTCCTTGAGCACATTAAACTCTGGTTTGGAGACAGCCTGGTGAGGTGATGTCTGTAACGTGACAGCAGCGGCGGGGCTGAGCTCCCCCGCGTTATTCCTGTGTTTGGGATCCCTTTTCTTATGGTTTTCCAGCAAAAAAAAGGGTTAAGGGAAGATTTAGGTGAGCTGTTGGGAGGAAGTTCTTCCCTGTGAGGGTGAAGAGCCACTCTCAGATGTCTTATTCCAAAGGCTGGATGCCACATTTTCCTGGTAATGCAGCAGGAGGGTGGGAATGGAGCACTTAAAGGGTGCTCCTCTGAAGGAAAAGAAGGATCCAGGAATAACTCGAGTTGGTTTATTAACTCTTTATTAACAGCAGGAGGTGGAAGGCACCTCTGCAGCTCCGTGTCCCAGCCCCAGTCTGACCCTTTGGTTGTGGTCTCACCACAGGCTTGTCCTGGACCCTGTGAGCACCGTGCCATGGGGGTCAGCACCCCATGTCCCTGGCGGGGGGACCAGGGACCAGCTCCATGGCAGGGAGGGGTTCAGCTCCCATCCTGCTGCTTGTCTTAACACAATTCTTCATTAATTTCCTTTTAAATTGCCTATATTTTCCCCCTGCAGCCTTGACTTCAGGCCAAAGAGGAGCTGGAGATGTTTAATTAGGGAGGCTGTAACCAAGCCAGCTGCCTCCCTGAATCGGGAGGGCACTGTGCCAACAGCCTGGAGCCACTCGGAGAGGCCTGAGCTCCCTGCACCAGCCCCTAAATCCTTTGGGAGAGCCCTAAATCCCTCAGGAGAGCCCCTAAATCCCCAAGGACAGCAAGGAGCTGGGGTGCAGGAGTAGCAGCTCCATCTCTCCATCTCTGCTGGAGCTCCTCAGGGTCTCCAGGAGGAAGGGGGGCGCAGGCAGGCCCTGGGTGTTGTAGAGGGCACAGGACTGGTACTCACAGGGCCACTCAGCCCAGGCATAGCGCAGGGCCAGCACCAGTGTCCCACAGCCACCCAGGGCCAGTGTCACCGTGTGAGACCCCACTGCCACAATGGGAGCTGGCAGCCACCTGCACAGGGACACAGGGCTGGAGCAGCACACCTAGAGAGGGGAGACACCTCCCTGAGCACGGGCTTCACCTTGCAGCCATGGGGAGAAGCTTCTCCCCCCTCCTCACCTCAAATGCTGCCGTGTCCCTCCGGCGCCACACCAGCCACTGGCTGTAGGTGATGTTCAGCAGAGCCCTGGTGACCTCCACAACAGCCCGAGTCGGGAATGGCCCCTGGAAAACCAGGTTTTTCTCCCCGTATGCCACAGCCCTAGCGCCCAGCTGCAGGCGATGCGCCACGTTCTGCTTGTCCCGGGGGTGGATGCTGCCAAGGAAAGGGAGGGAGGTGGGGTTGGTGTCCTACAGCTTCAGCTGCATCCTACAGCTGCTCTCCTACAGCTTCATCTCAGTCTGACAGGCTGAGAGCTGGGCTGGGGCAGCCTGGAGAAGAGAAGGCTCCTGAAGGGGAGACCTTAGAGCAGCTCCAGTGCCTAAAGGGGAAATCTGGAGAGGGGCTTGGGACAAGGGCCTGTAGGGACAGGCCAAGGGGAATGGCTTGAACCTGCCCGAGGGGAGACTGAGCTGAGCTCTTAGGCAGAAGCTCTTCCCTGTGAGGGTGCTGAGGCGCTGGCACAGGGTGCCCAGAGAAGCTGTGGCTGCCCCATCCCTGGCACTGCTCAAGGCCAGGTTGGACACAGGGGCTTGGAGCAAGCTGCTCCAGTGGAAGGGGTCCCTGCCCGTGGCAGGGGTTGGAGCTGGATGAGCTTAAGTTCCCCTCCAAACCATTCCATGGTTCTATCCATTCACTATCATCCCCCTAGGACTCACCTGCCATAGGGTGAGTGCTCATCGCAGAGATCCATTGCCACGGCCATGAAGGTTCTGGGCATCCTGGCGTTGGGAACGACCCCCACATCAGCTGTCTGGTGCCAGCGGAGCCGGGCGAAGCTGTCCTGGGGGCTCTGCTGGCGGTAGGTGGACAACTGCAAGGCAGAGCAAGGTGTGGAGCTCGGGAAGTGTCTCTTCCATCGCTCCCAACACCATCCACTGGGATGCAGCACCGCTGGCAGGACCTCTTCATGTGTTCACAGCATCCCCTTGCACCTTGGAAGCGGCTCCATGATGCTAAAGGATGGGTAAGCCCCCTCCTCACCCCCTCTTCACCTGCACGAAGCCAAAGGGGAGGAGTGGCTCGCTCTGCCCAGCTGATCCCACATGGAATGCCTGGCGCCAGTCAGCAATGAGCTCGGGGAAGGTGCAGTTGTATTGGTCTGTGTGCAGGAAGGCGTTGGCCTCACCTGTATCCAACAGAGAGGGGCTGGAGTGAACCCAGTGGGATAGTGGAGGCTGCTCCACCCCATAGTGAGGATAACAGGGGCTCACCCTGGTACCAAGCGATCCCCCGCAGTGTCATGTTGAGCAGTGGGTGGATCATAGCATTCCAAAGCACAGAAGGTGTTTGAGGGCCGGAGAAGTGCTGGTGTGGGGAGATGCTGGGAGGCAAAGCTGGGCTAAAAGGGTAGAAAACACGAGGCCAGACCTGAATCCCTTTAACCCTGCATGGTTAAAGCAAACACCGTGCAAAAGGGGAGCCCTGGGGTCCCCCTCTTCCCCTTTTCCCCCTGAGATGTGCCCTACACTCTCAGCACAGGAAAGGGTTTATCCAGAGGGAGAAAAATGATGCATGGAGAGGGAAGACCATTCCCAGATTCTATGATTCTACTTGGACATCCCCCTCCTTAGAGGCAGGAGGTGTCCTTCAGCTTCACATCTTAGTGTTCAAGGCCAGCTTGGATGGGCCTGAAGCAGCATGCTGGAACTGGATGAGCTTTAAGGTCCCTTCCAACCCAAACCAGTCTGTGTGATTTGGTGGGACAGGAGCGCTCTGGGAATGCTTTAGGAGAGGAGGTGGAATGGGAATGGATGGAGGATCTCCCCCAGAGCATCATGGTGTGGGGTAGGAGGTGTTTTACTGCATCTTCTCTCACCTCCTCATGTCCTCCAGGAGCCCACATGCCTGCAGAGTCCTTGGGGAGGACCAGGCCTCGATGGGGGTTCCCCCCCAGGCTGCCTCCACCAGCCCCACAGGGTACCTCAGAGCATCATAGAGGTAACGTCCCAGCAGCCAGCAGACAGCCGAGAAGTAAGTGAAATTCCCATGGCCCAGGTTCTCTGTTCAGGAAACATCAGGCTGCAATGGGAAAAGGGTGGGGGGAACCCACTTCCAGGCTTTCTGGGGAAGGAACAGTGTCCTCACCAGCTGTTGGGATGGACCAGGGCAAGTCAATGCGCTCCAGGTCTTCCAGCTCCACGTCAGAGCGGGATGGAGCCACAGCGAAGACACGGACATAGGGATAGCGAGGGGTGGCAGCGAGCTCCTGGCTGGCATTGGTGATCTAGGGAAGGGTTGGGAGCATGTGGGGTGCTTCCCTGCCTGTGCCGGCAGGACCATGCCATGCCATGGGTCTTACCTGCAGGACTGTCATGACCATGTTGCTCTGCCCGCTGCAAAGCCACACGTCCCCAAAGTAGATGTCCCTCAGCGTCACGTTCTCCGAGCCTTGCCTGGCTGTCAGCGTGTAGGGACCACCCTGATCCATAGGGTCCAGGATGGTCATCCATGTCCCAGAAGGTTCTGGAAGAAGAGGATGGTGCTTATCTTTCCTGATCCCTATGAAGACACCAAGACCTTCACAAAGAGGTTGGATGGGCGGCCAACAACCCATGGGGATGGACAGGTAACAAGGGAAAGATGCCCCATTGCAGGGCTGGGTGGGGAAGTAGGGTTTGGACGCTCTCCACCATCAGAGGGTCCTTCCTCCTGCAGGAACGGAGGGGTTAAGCAGAAAAATCTCCAAGACAAATGTGTGTCAGAGCAGAAGCTGCTGGGAGGAACTGGGATTACAGGAGCAGCTTGGTGTGTGTGACACTGAGATGTCTCCAGCTAATTTTAGAGGCGCCGAATCGAGGCGTAAAGATATTCTGCTGGAGCTTAGCGTGGATTTTCTGGCCTGATTCAGGCTGGATCCTGCAGATCTCCGGTAGCAGCCGATCACTGCTCTATCACAAGACACCTCCAGGCTCCCCAGCTTGTGGAGGAGCCATTTAGGCAGTGATTTCATCCCCTGCCCCCCCAGAAAGGTGAGGAGCAGCCCCCCAACTCCCTGTGCAGGGAAGGAAACCACCAACTGAGATGCTTCTGAGCCCTCACAGCCTTGAGGACAGCTCACCCCAAGGTGATGGAGCCCCACCAGCAGCTCCAATGTGGGCTTCCATGTGCTTCTTGGCTCCAAACTCACCATCCCCAGCTGCCCATGAGGGTCCAGCACTGACCTTTAACTCGTGCCATCTTCTTCATTAGGACAAGGCCACCATCGCCGGAGAGAGCCACGGTCACCGCAGCCCCCGGCTCCCCATAGCCCCACACCACGGCCCCCGCCGGCTCCTTCTGCAGCACCATGTGGTCGCCATAGTAGGATGCAAAGCTGAGGATTGCCCCTGGAACCAGCAGACAGCACCAACCATGAGCTCCAGGAGGAAAAAGCAAAGGGAAAACTCCTCTGCAAGGCCTCCGAGTCCTTCTGAAATACAGATTATTTGAGATCCAGCTTAATTTAGAGCTTCCTTTGGGTCTGGTCAACCTTAAGGTGGTTGAAATCACCAAGGAGATGAGGAAGTGGCTGAGTTTGAATCCCCAGGAGAGCCCAAGTCACGTCCCAAAGCCCAGGAGCTTGTGTTATACATAGTTTGGGTACAGATTGCGGTAAGAACTCTTCTAATAACAGCATTTCTGCCAGCCCAGCCTTGCTAATAACTATGTTCTGACATACTTTCCCCTTGCTAAAGCAGGCTTGGCACATGGCGGGGTGGGAAGCACCAGGAATGCGGCACCGGCAAAAGCAGGGAGGGAACAGCGGTCTCAGCCCTGGCACCCCCAAAAGCCCCGTTCTGAGGGTGTGAACAGAAACCCACACTGGAACTGGGTCAGGGCAGCGTGTGCAGGGCTTGGACGCGATGTCCTCAGCCTCTGTGGAAGCAGCCGGTCCCCAAGCCCCTTCCCGAGGCTCTGGGAAGGACGAGTTACATAAAGCCATGAGTTGGAGGAGGGAGAGAAGTACAAAGTGAGGCGCCGGGGAAGAGGCTGGAGCTATAAAAAGCGGCTGGGAGGAGGGAAGGGAGCAGAGCCCACGGGACGCGCCGAGGAGCCGCATGCAGCTCCCGCCTTACGTAAAGCATCGTCCCACGGGGCAGCGGCGTGCCAAGGGCGGCGGAGCGGGGTTTAGGGCATGCCAAGGGCCCCGAAATGGGCTCAAAGAGGGGCTGGGGGGTTCCAAGGGCATGGAAGTGGGGTTGAGGGTGGTACCAAAGGCATCAAAGTGAGGTTCGGAGGAGGGCAAGACGTGAAGTGGGGTTCTGGGTATGCGAAGGGCATCAAACAGGGCTTTGGGGGTGCAAAGGGCCCTGAACTGGGGCTGGAGGGACAGCGAGGACATCAAAGTGGGGCTCGACGTGGGGCCAAAGGCATTTAAGCGGGTCTGGGGCAGTACCAAGGGTGTTGAAGCAGGGTTTAGGGGATGCCAAGCGCCCTGAAGTGGGGCTCTGGTTGTGCCAAGGGTGTCAAAGCAGGGCTAAGGGGTGCCAAAGGCAGTGAAGCAGGTCAGGGCGGCTACAAAGGGCACTGAAGCAGGATTTAGGGGATGCAAAGAGCCTCAGAGTGGGCCTCTGGGGGTGCCAAGGGCATCGACATGGGGTTTAGGGTGCAAAGGGTGTTTAAGCAGGGTTGAGGGGGATGCAAAGGGCTCCAAAAGGGGCTGAGGGGATGCTAAAGTCCTCAAAGCGGGGCCAAGGGTGGTGCTAAAAGCATTGAAGCGGGTCTGGGGCGTACCAAGGGCATCGAAGTGAGGTTTAGGCCATGCCAAGGGCTCCCAAACGGGGCTTTCGGGTGCCAAGGGCCCGGTCGGGCTGCGGAGGGTGCCCGGGGGTCCGGACCGGCCCCCCCCAGCCCTTTACCTGCCGCCACCGGAGCCAGCGCCAGCAACGCCCACGCCGCCATCCCGGGGGAGGAGGGGGATAGAGGAGCACGGCGCGGGTGGGCACTAGGACCCAGGGCCCGCCCCGATCCCGCCCCTTTGGGGGCGTGGCCAGGGCGGTTGCCTAGTAACGGCGTCCTCACGTCTGCCTGAGTCGCTGGTGCGGCCTGGCCGGGTCCGAGGGGAGGGCATGGGGGAAAGGGACGGGGCCGGGCTGGGGGTGCAGGAGCGGAGTGCGGGGAACCGGGGATAACGAGGGGGAACCAGAGGAACCGGGGTCCGGGACCCTCCGGTACCGAAGGCCGCGCAGGCGCGGTTAGAGACAGCAGTGCACAGGCGCGGCGGGTGCCCCCTAACGGCGGCACTGCGCCTCCGCCCTCCCGTGCTCCCTGTGCCACGGGTTCGAGTCCCGGCACTGCCAGGTCGGGATAGCGGGGATGCGGGTGGTGGCTGACCTCGCTTGTGCCGCTGCAGGGAACTGGGAGAGATGAAGATGTCGATCCCGTTCTCCAGCACCACTCCGAGGCTGCCTCCCGGCTTCCGGAACCTGCTGGAGGGGCTGGTAAAGGAGGTGCTGCGGGTGCAGCCCCCCGACATAGTGGGTTTTGCTGCTCAGCACTTCCAAACGCTGCTGGAGCAGAGAGAGGGTGAGTGGCACAGCCCAGCAGCACCCCTGCTCACTGCCCTTGTGCCTATTGCCTCGGATGTTGGGGCTGCACATGTGCCCATCACTCATGGCATAGTGCCTGCTCTGTGTGCCCACTACCCGTGGCCTTGAACCTTCCCCTTAGCGCCCATCACCGAAGGTGTTAGGCCTGTCCATGTGCCCATCCACGTGGCATCAGGCTTTCTCCATCCACAGCCACCTCGGCTGACCCGGTGGTGTGGGGAGCCCAGCTGGAGGAGCTTCAATCCCATGCCTCTTCCCAGGTAGGCTGCCCCCCCTTGTCCCTCAACCGCTGGAGAGTTTGGGGTCCCCCCTGCTTCTGAGTTTTAGGTTTTCCTGCTTTCCCTCCAGGAGCCAGAGGAGGACAAGGACAAGGAGAAGGGCAAGGAGGAGGCTGGTGGTGCTGCACCCACGGTAAGTGACACAGCACCGCACCCAAACCAGCACTATTCGAACCCAAAACAGCAATGAGGAGTAGCTCAAGTACTCAGCAGCACCCACACACTGGGATTCATCCCAAAACCCCTCACTGGGATGCAACCCTCGGCTGGAGGGGAGCGTGTACCCTCTTTAAAAGGGACACCTCCCCAGGGCGACCACATAAAACTGTCCCCAAAACCCTCTTTTTTCCCACTGGGAATAGCTCCCATCCCACCCCTGTGGCACTTCCTTAATGAGGGTTTCTCCTAATGAGGTCCCACCATAATTAGTGGCTCCCACCTGGGATTTTTCCCAGTTCTAGGATCTGGGCTGAGCTCTGGATGATATTTTAAGACTCTATATTTAGGCCCCTGCATCCCTGGAGGTTGTCAGACATCTAATAGCAGCCCCACATGAAGAAGGGAGGTGACATTGCTCCTCTTCCAACCCCCATTCCAAGAGCATGGCATTTTGGGGAGCAAAACTCCAGAACCTCATCCCACAAAAGGTGATGGGGTTTGTGTCAAAGCTGGGTCCTGGTTTTAAGGGGGATGAACTCTCTGCTCATTCTCCCCTCATTTTTCCCCCCTTTTTCCTGTTTTTCCCAGCCATTCGCAGTGTGGGCATGGCACGGGGCACAGCATCCCTGGGAAAAACAGGAAGGAGGAATAGGGAATAAAAAGAGCTGGAGATGCCAACCGGCTACTGCTCCAGCTGCCCACCCAGGGCACCTTTCCAGCATCAAATTCCCAATTTATTGATTCCTTATGGGGTATTTGAACACCTCAGAGCCACCACCTCAAACCACAACAGTGGGATGCTGCCAGCGGGATGTGCCCCTTTCCAAAGTACATTTTATCTGGATCCAGATTTAATCAGTGCTGGATCACCTGGAAAAGCATCATCCCAATATCCCCCCCCCGTGCCCCTCTCCATGTTGCGCCCTGGGCTGGGTTGTTTTCTTGGATGAAGGGAAAACGCAGGAGCCTGGAACGGGCTCAAAATCCACCGTTAATGATTAGAAATGTTCTGGCATTTCGCATCCCTCCTCCGCAGCCGCAGCCGGGAGACGCCGGCGCCTTTGCCAGGACCGGCCGGAGCACACTTGGGAGATGGGGAGGGGGGGAGCTGCATCCCACAGGAAAACCTGGGATGACTTCCACTGTCACATTGCAAGTGCTCCTGAACCCTCTGGGTTTGTGCTTCTGGGGGTTTACTGGTACCAGGCTGAGCCTCCAGCATGTGGAATCCTAGTTTTAGGGATGGTTTTCCCAGCTTTTTGATGAGCGAATCATCCCAAATGCATTTCCACTCTGCTCCTCTCAAACCACCTTACATTCCCTCACCGGAGCAGGATAAGATGGATCTGGAGGGTCTATAAAAAGGGAAGGGGGTCATTTTTCCATCTACAAATCCCAGTGGAGCAGCCAACGCTTCTCCTGGAAGCTGGAGCAGAGCTATTCCCACCCCCTGCTGCGCTGGTGGGAAGAGATGGTGGTGGAAAAGTGTCTCCAGTGGGAATTGCCAGGAGCCAATGGCTGGCATGGGAAGTGAGGGATGCTCCAGGAGCATCCATCACCCTGGGAGTGGGGTTTGGGTGCCAGGGTGCTGCTGGGGGGGGGGAGGTAGGGACAGAAATGGAGGTGGGGATGGGAACAGGGATGGTGATAAGAGACAGGGATGAGGGTGATGACAGGGATGGTGATAGTGACAGGGATGATGGGACAGGGACAAGAGTGATAATGGGGATGGTGACAGGGGTGGGACAAAGCGAATGATGAAGTTGGGGATAAAGACAGGGAAAGGGTTAGGGATAGGGATGGGGATAACAAGGGGAAAGGGGATATTGATAGGTACAGGACCATGGTGGGGACAGGACAGGGACTGTGGCGGAAGTGATTGCTATGAGGACAGGGATGGGGACAGTGCCAGCGATGGGATGGTGATGTCAGTGGGGCAGGGATGCTGATGGTGACAGTGGCGCTGGTGATGGCAGAGAGGAAGGTCGGTGCCACCAAGCCCTGTGCTGGGCTGGGTACAGTTGTTGTGGCCTGGCTGTGCTGGGGGTGCTGGTGCCATCCTGGGGTCCACGCTACATCCCCGGGATCTGGGAGCTGGCCAGAGCCGGCATCGGCAACTTCTGCGGTTGCTTAGCAACTCCCAAACCCGGATTAGCGGCGCGGGGCGGGAGATGCGGGGGGGATGCGGGATACAGCCCCCCTCACCCTCCAGGGGTCCCCCTGCCTTCCTGGGGGCCCCCTGTTGTGTCCCAGCACCTTGGCATGGTCCAGGGCAAAAGTGGGGTCTGTGGATAGCACAAAGGGTGGAAAACTGGTTGGAATTGGAGATGTTACTGGAAAACACCCCGAATTTGGGGGTTAGGATGCTCCTGCAAGCAGGAAAGGGACCCCCAGTTCCCAAAAGGTCTGTGTTTGGGCATAGCACCCCTTGAGCTTCAGTGAACACTTGGTGGGATGTGGTGTCCTGCCATTCCCACCCTTCCTTGCCATCCTCACCCTCACCATCCTCACCTTCACCCTCACCATCCTCACCCTCCTTCAGAGCCAAGCCCTAAGTAGGTTGGGAATGTTTTGCTCCCCATGGAAACACAACCAGGGGGGCAACTCCCCAACTCCAGCATCCCCGCAGGCCAAGCATCCCCTTTCCCACCCCAAAGTAAGCCATCACCCCCATTTGCCGTGGCAAACACACTCCCCACATCCCCCCGGATTCCATCCATCCCTGTTAACCCCGCCACGCATCCTCCGCGTGTCATCTTTCCATGACACCAAGCTCCGGGGCGAGCTGCCGGCTCCTTTAAGGCAGTCGGAGGCTGCGGAATCAAATTGGAGGAGGCTCTAAAAAAAAAGAGGAGAAAAGGGGGGGGGAATAGGAAGAAACACACACCCCCCCTCGCTCCTAAAACCTGGAAGGGTGTAGGGCTGATAGGCTCGCCCGGAGGGAAGCGCATTACGTAGGCAAGCGGCTCCGCTCAACTTGCCACCGGGATTGCTGCCGGGAAGCGAGACCTTGCCGGAGCCCCTCGCCCATCGCTGGCCGCCCACCCCTGCTTCACCATGGACTGCTGCAATGTAGGTTCATCCCGAGCCTTCCCTTTCCCCATCTCCCCATCTCCCCATCCTAACATCTCGCCTTTCTGCGTTTCCTTTAGGATTAGGGTTATTGTTGCTCCTGTGCTGGGGGGCGGCGGAGGGGATCTGGGGGGCTGCTGGAGGTGTTATGGAAAGGGGGAATTTGGGAGGGATGTTGGGATTTTTGGGGGGGGGGATTTGTGGGGTGTTATGGGGTGCTGCAACCAACTTGGCTTGGACCCCCCACTCAGGCCCGTATTCCAACCCCCTCCCCAAAATTCCATACCAGTTCAGGATTCATGCAGCATCCCGCATCCTGCTCAGGGAAGTGCCCCCCATCCCCGAATCCCACAGCCAAACCAGGGGTTCTGTTTCTATCCAGTTTTTTATCCCCCCACAAATGACTCTCCAGGTGGGATTGGGGGTTCTTTATGGATAAAGGGATAAACCGGGGAGAGCAAGGGATTGCACCCCTCCATCCTCACCTGGGGTGAGCATCCCCTCGCCGCCCGCTCACCAGCCAGCTCGGGGAGTTGATCCGGCAAAAATCCACATAATTTTTCCCTCTTTCTCCCATTCCCCCCCTGCTTTTCCCCTTTTCCCCCCTCTTTTTTCCCTTTTTCCCCCTTTTTCCCCTCCTGCTCAACCAGCAGCACAGCGAGAAAGCCCCATCTCCCCTCTTGGATGCCTCCAGAGAGGCAAAGCCCACCCTGGATATAAGACCTATCCCCCCTGGATACAGGATTTCTCCCCTGCATATAAGATTCCCCCCCCATATAGGATTTCTCCCTCTCAATATAGGATTTTTCCCTGGTTACAGATTTTCCCTCTCTGTATATAGGATTTCTTCTCCTCCATATACAATTTATCTCCCAGGACAGAGGATTTCTCCTTTAGATGTAAGATTTCTCCCCTGGATATAGGATTTCTCCCCTGGATATAGGATTTGTCCCTTGGATATAGGATTTTGCCCCTGGATATAGGATTATACCCCTCTGGATATAGGATTTCTCCCCTGGATATAGGTTTTCTTCCTGAAATATAGAATTTTGCCCCTTGATGTAGATTTCCACCACTTGTATATAGGATTTCTCCCCCAGGATGTAGGATTTCTGCCCTGGATATAGGATTATACCGCTCCATATATAGGCTTTCTCCCTGAAATACAGGATTTTGTCCCTGGATATAGGATTGTACCTCTCCGTATATAGGTTTTCTCCCTGGAATATAGGATTTTGCCCCTGGATATAGGTTTCCCCCACCTGTATATAGGATTTCTCCCCTGAATATTGGATTTCTCCCCTGGATATAAGATTTCCTGCCCCTGGATATAGGATTTCTCCCACAGATATAGGATTTCCTGCCCCTGGATATTGGATTTCTCCCCTGGATATAGGTGTGTGTCCTCCTATATAGGATTTCTCCCCTGGCTATAGGATTTCAGGCCGCTGGCTATAACATTTCCACCTGGACATATCATTTCCACCTTGGACCCGTCACTTAAGCCACTACCACTCTTTTGTTCCCCTCACCTTTCACAATAGTAAACCAACCTGAGCAACTTTCCAGAGCTGTGGAATGCTCTGAAGGGAATTGCATCCCCCCAAAAAAACCCACAGCTTCCAAATACCCCCCCCCAATATTCCCTTAACTCCTTTAAAGCGCTTCCAGGGTGATGCAAAGGATGCTTGTGGACACCGGAGCATCCAACATTGGCTCGCTCCCATCTCATCTGTTTTTCCTCCCCTCTGGCATCGCTCCCTTCCCAGTTTTCCCAGTGCTTTCAGCCAAAGCCCTGAGGAGGGAAGCAGGAGGATGCAACAGGCTGCATGGGGAAGGGGAAACTGAGGCACGACCAGCTCAGCTTGTGCAGCATGAGCCCTCCTGTGCCAAACCTTCCCAAACCCACCCTCTGCTCCCATGGATGCTCCTTAACCTGGACCACAACCCTCGGGAAGCTGGATCCAGCCCCAGCGCCTGGTCCAAGGTGGATTTAGGGATGAGTAGGGGGTGAAGCATCTTCCCCTGCTGCGTCTTTGGTTGCAACCCCCCGAGACACCTCAGGATGTACGTCTGGGATGTAATTGGGATGTAAGTGACCCTGCTTTTTAACAAAGGTCCCTAGTTTTTAGCAGAAGGCCCATATTTTGAGTGAAAAAAACCTGATTTTTATCCAAGAATTTTAGCACCGGGGCTAATTCAGGGTCTTATTTAATGGCTTCAATTGGGAGGGGGGAATGATGCTGGTTTTGGGACCCCACCACCCCTAACCCTCTTGTTGCCGCCATCAGGAGGGAGCCTGCACGAAGCTGGACGAGGACATCCTGGATATCCCTTTGGACGATCCCGATGCCAACGCGGCGGCCGCCAAGATCCAGGCCAGTTTCCGTGGCCATATGACCCGTAAGAAGATCAAAGGGGGGGAGATCGATCGGAAAACCAAGGACGCCGAGTGCGCCAACAGCACCCGCGGCGGCGACCTCCGCAACGGCGACTAGGTACATCCCGAGCTTCCCTATTCCCTCCCATCGGGCTGGTTTCACACAGGTGCTGCTCCCAGCATCCTTCCCGGCGCTGATCCGGGATGGAAAACGGGGTTTGCTTCCCAGGAGGTGCCAGCACCCCGCAGGCAGCCCCTGCCTGCCCTAATTTTGGGAGCGTGCCGTAGTAGTTAGGATGGGAATGCGAAGGCCTGGATTGGAATTGGATTTCTCCCTTAGCAACACCGCCCCGGCCGCCTCGCCTCAGCACATGCTATTTTTAAAAGCCTGTGTCACAGTCTCCTGGCAGGAAAAGGTAAATTTAAAGAGCGCCCACAGTGCTGAGGCCGCGTGGCATCGGAGCCCGGGAATGCTGGAGCCCGTGTGGGGAGCAGGGAATGGCCCCCGGCTCATGGGAGTGATGGTTTGGGGTGAGCGTCAAGGAGGTCTCCGTGCTGGCTCGGCCATGTTTGCATGGTGGGGCTGGTGTGGAGGCAAGCGGGATGTAACTGGGATGTGGTGGGAATGAAGTGGGGAGGAATTGAGGATGAAGTAGGGGTGCAGTGGGATTTCAGCAGAAATCCAATGGGAATGCTCTGAGGATGTAGTGGGGATGTAAAGGGGATTCAGTGGGAATGAATTGATGCAATGGAGATGCAGAGGGGAATAAGTGGGAAGGAACTGAAGATGCAGTGGGAATGAGCTGGGGAAGCAACAGGGATTCAACAAGGATGCAGTGGAGAGGCAGTGGGGATTCAGCAGGTATGCAATAAGACCAAACTGGGAATTCAGTGAGAATGCAGTGGGAATGAACTGCGGATGTAGCGGGGATGCAGAGGGGATTCAGTGGGAATGAAATGGGGATGCAGTGGGGATTCAGCAGGTACGAACTGAAGGTACAGTAGGGATGCAGTGGGAATGAGCTGTGAATGCAGTGGGGAAGCACTGGGATTTCAAAGAGGATGCAGAAGGGGTGCAGTAAGGAGGCAATGGGAATGAACTAGGAAATCACTGGGGATGCAGTGGGAATGAACTGAGTGTGCAGTGGGGATTCAGAGGGAATGCAGTGCCAGTAAACTGAAGATGCAGTGGGGATTCAGTGCGAATGCAGTAGAAATGAACTGAGGATGCAGTGGAGATAGAGTGGAGATTCAGTGAGGATGCAGCGAGGATGCAATGGGGATGCAGCAAGGATGCAACTGGGATGCAATGGGGTTGCATTGAGGATGCAACTGGGATGCAGTGGGGATGCAGTGGGGAAGCAGCCCAGGCCCACAAAGTTCATTAGGCTGCCTCGCTAGGTGCAGGCAGGGCAGGGGTGGGTGAGCTGCAAGTAGGGCAGGCGCAGGGTGCGAGCAGCAGGAGCAGAGCGTGGGCAGGGTGCAAAGAGAGCAGAGGCAGGGAGGGGACCGGGCACGGAGAGGGTGCGGGCAGGGTGCAAGGAGGGCAGAGGCTGCAGGAGCCGGGCTCAGGGCGCAGGCAGGAGCCGGGCACGGGATGCAGGGCTCCGGGCGCTGGGCTCCGGCCGTTCTCTGACCCCTGTCTCTCTTCCAGGCTCCTCCCGCCGCCCCCGGACCCCCCCCTCCTCAGCCAACGTCGCCCGCCGAGGCCCCGGAGCCGCTTCTCGCCCCGTCCCCCGCATGCGCCCGCCGGGGCCCCCCCGCAGCCCGGCCCCGCCCCCCCGGAGCCCCAGACCCCAATAAAGGTTCCTGCGGAGCGCGCTGTCCCTGCGCCTTATGACGTCACCGGCCCAGCGGTGAGGTCACAGCGCGGAGATGGGGGGGGGGAAATGCCCGGTGGTGACGTCATACATGCAGCTGTGACGTCATGCAGGCACGTGTGACATCACACAAGTGCACATGGCTCGCGTGACACTGAGGGCAGGGTGATGTTGCAGCTGTGACGTCATACAGCTGCGCGCCATATGGGTGTGACGTCAGAAAGGCTGTGATGTTACAGGTGGCTGTGACGTCATAGAGGCGTGTTGCCCTATGTGCCTGTGACGCCATACATGTGTGTCATATGCGGCTGTGACATCACACAGTCAAGTGTTGCACATGGTGTGATGTCACACAGGCCCGTGCCATGTCACCGTGACATCACATGGTCATGCATGGTACCACCCAAGCCGTGACATCATCAAGGCCACATTACCCTGTCTGATGCGGGGTGTGATGTCACGGTGATGGACAGGCCACCCTTGTGATGTCACACAGCGCCTGTGACGTCACCCAGGTCCCCGAGGCCCCACAGAGTCACCACACAGCAGGCGCCCAGCAGCGTTTAATCACAAAACCCCTACAAAAGGCACATCCCCCCCTTGGGCCGCCCCCTCCCTCCCCCCCTTTAATCCTCTTATGCAAAACCCCCAATTTTAACCAATCTAAGTATATATATATATAAAAAATGAGGCCTCGCTCCCCCCCCCCCAAGAGGGTATTGTGGGGTCTTCTAGGTATGGGGAGCCTCAGCACCCTAAAACCCCTGAAGCCTCCTGCACCCATTAACCACCCCCCCCCCTAGCCAGTCCAGCTGCTCAAGGTGTCTTAAAAGGAGAAAAAAGACTCCAGAAAGGGAGAAAATACCCCCAAAAATGGGGGTGGGGGTGCTGGCTGGACACCCCATTTTATGGGGTGGGGGGGGTCAGACCAAGGAGCCGGCTCGGCTCTGCGCTGGCACCATGACGGGCACAGCACCCGCCCGTGTCAAGCTGGAAGTGGGCAGTGATCCCGAGGGAATGGGGGTGGGATCTTGGCGGCGCTGGGGGGCCCCATTCAGGGCGTGGGGTGAAAGGCCTGGGGGGCGCCCCCCTGCCCGCGCTGGGGGGCCCCGGTAGCTGCCAGTGGCCGTGAGGATGGAGGCGGTGTCTGAAGGGGGGTTCGCTCCATAGGGTCTGTCCCGGCGCCCAGCGATGGAGGACAAGGTGCTGGTTTTGGAGAGGGTGTCTGGGGCTGGCCTCCGCGCCCATGATGGGGTCTTGGGGGCCACCGCATCTTCCCTGGCAAGAGAGGACAGGGTTGGAGGGAGCAGCGCCAGGAAATGCTGATATTCCCATCCCCGGCACCCCCCTCCACTAAAGCAATGGGGTTGTGCGGAGCTCCTGGACTCCAAAACAGGGGAACAAGAGGGACTGAAACCTTCTGCGGGCTGTGGAGAGATTGAAACCTCCTCTCAGCCTCCTGTTAACTCTGAAACCTAACGCTGACCAGGCAGAGATGGAAACCTTCCACTCCCACACCCCCATTAAGGATAGCTAGAGATGGAAACCTCCTCCCACTCCCTGTTCACTCTGAAACCTAGTGATGAAGAGCCTGAGGTTGGAACCTCTCCCCCACCCCGTGTTAACTCTGAACCCTAATGATGACTGTGTAGAGATGGAAACCTCCTCCACGGGAGGGCCGCCTCACTTGATCTCATTGGCTGCCTCCTCCTGCCCATCCCGTTTCTTCCTGCGGTATCCCACGACCCGTCGGGCGAAGAAGACGACGGTGGCGAGCGCACCCAGGGAGCCCAGCACGGCACCAGCGATGACGGCCTTGGTGCTAGCTGGGAGACAGAGTGGAGTGGGGGGGTTTTGCTTCCCTCCTCATTCCCATGGGGACTCCACAGGGACAATATCCCCCCAGGCCCTGCGGACACGTACTCACTTGAGTGCACCTCCAGGACGATGTGGCACTCGGCCGAACCCGCTTGGTTTTCGGCCGTGCAGACGTAGATCCCAGACATGTCCAGGGAGAGGTTGGTCAGCTTGAGGGTGCCCCTGTGCCAGTCTGAGGGTGAAGAAATACGGGTGCTGCCCTTGGCCATGCCCCTGGCCCCCATCCTGTTAACTCTGAAACCTAATGAGGACTGGCCTGAGGTTGAAACCTTCTCCCCACTGTTAACTACCTACAGTGAATGGGCAGAGGGGAGGGAATGGGCAGGGTTAAGGGGATGCTCCACTCCCTGCTCCCGCAGCAAGACCAGGCTTTACACGGACAACACTGAAGCTTCCTGGGATATTCCAGCCCCTGGTTCCCCCTCCCAGTTTCCCCTTACCCTGTGCTGGGGGGAAGAAGACCTGCAGGGTGGGTGCCGTGCGCTGCCACTGGTACACGGGCGAGGGCTTCCCCTTCCTGGAGCTGCAGCTCAGCGTCACGTTGGCTCCCACCGTGGGCTCCCCGTGCAGTTGGCAGGATGGGGTGGCCGGCGGCACTGCGGGCATGGACATGAATCCCAATGGACACCATGGCAGGGGACAAAGGGAGCTGGGGATGGACCAGCAGGGCCTTACCCAGCACGGTGAGGTTGATGACACCGATGTTCTTGCCCATGCTGGAGGCCTCATCCACCACGTTGACCGTGCACATGTACTGGCCCGAGTCGCGCTCCCGGGTGGCGTTGATGAACACCGAGATGTTGTGGCTGAGGACGGGGTACAGGAACCCCACGCGGGGCTTCAGCTCCGTCTCCTCCACCTTCACCACCCCATCCAGGTAGGTCAGGATCTGCGCAGGGGAAAACGCACGCTTGGGCTCCTCCGGATGGGGTTGTAGGAGAGGAACCCCCCCCAAATCCCAACTTTTGTGAGTAGCATCAGCCCCCTCCACCCTCACATGCCCTGAGCATCCATAGCCTGAGAAACACGGGCATCCCCCCATTGTGGGCATCTCCCCACCATGGGCACCATAAGTACACCCTGTCTTGGGCACCATGAGCCTCCCCCAACATGGGAACTACCTCATCATAGACACTATAGGCTTCCCCCCACTGTGGTCACCTCCCCTTCATGGACACCATGAGCCCACCACCACCTCCCCTCCTGTCTCACCTGGAAGGGATCAGCATGTTCCTTATCCAGCAGCCAGGTGACATAGGGCTTCCTCTGGGAATGGCTGGTGTACCAGGCAGGCAGCACTACCTGCTGCCCTTCCACGGAGAACACCGAGCCCGTTCCCACGTGCACCTCCAGCACAGCTGAGGAGACACCTGAGAGGGGAAGAACATGGGATGTGACTCATCCCAGCTGCTCTTTTCCCATAGAGACCTCCCTGTTCCAAAGGGGAAAAGCAACAATCCATGGCATCGCCAGGAAGCTGGGCCAGGAGGACATTTTTCTTCCTTCCCTGCCACAGGAAGGGCTTTCCAGCTGCTCTGGAGGATGAAGGACAATGCCATTCCCTCCCATCCCCATTTCCCACCCACCTGGGATGGGAAAACCTCTGGTTGAATATCTCCCTTTCCATGGGAATGCTGCTCCTCCCAAGGGGCTGCAGTGGCCAGACATCCCCTTTAGATAAGTGTTGGGGTACTCTCAACCTCCCCCATGATGCTGCACCAGATTCTCCATCCCGTGGGATTTATCTGGGGGGACACATTCATGTGCATCCCTCAAGCTCTCCAGCATCCCCTCTTTTGGCTGCCAGCGCTAAACTGGGATTATTCATGGGTGATTTCCCTTGATCCCCCAATCCCCTCTCATCCCAAATACCCCATCCCTGTATCCTCTGCATCCCAGCACCTCCAAAACCCACTGGGAAGAAGCAATGGGATACAAGAGGGTACCACGGGCTGGAGAAGGATGCTCGGCTCCCGCAGGAAGATTATTCCCTGGCTTTGCCCATAAAGCTCAGCTGGAAAATTAATCGGCTCAAGCAGGTTTGTGCTGCGGTTTAGTTGGGTTTATATTCCCAGGGGAATGCCACCGAGGACCTGCATCCTGGTGGCTCCATCCCTGCATCCCATTGATCCATGTCCCCAGCTGGCCCCACTCTTGCCAGAGCCCCAGGGATGCTCTGGATCAGGATGCAGGGGAGGTAGGGGAAAGGATGATGCTAACCCATGATCCCAAACCCTTGCTGGCACCTGGGATTTGGGGGAAAATCCCTGGTTCTGGAGGATTTAGGGAGCTTCCCTATGGACTCCAAGGGCTTAATGGGATTTTTCCAGAGGAAAACAAGGCGCTGGGGCGGGGGGGCAGTATTTTTAGCCTCCTCCCTGCATCCGTTCGTCCCCCTCCTGACAAGGCATCGGAGCCGTTTCCGGACAGAGCCTTCCAGCTCCAGGCAGGAAACTCTGCTCCGGCCGATAAAGTCTTCCCAGGAATTGAGAAGAAATGAATTAATTAAATCAAATTTCCCTTCTCCGGAGGAAAAGCGGGAGGAGGAAGATGCTTAAAAATAGAACCAAGAACATAAACCCTTAAATCCTGGCGAGAGAAGCACTGCCGGGTGATGGAGGCAGCGTCAGGGAGCAGAAATCATGGCTATTAATCTTAATATCATTCGTTTTATGAAACTACGGGATAGAAGGAAATATGTGATATGGGAAAACAACAGCAATTCCATTGGAATTAGTTACCCTGAGGAAGATATTTGTATTAAATGAGGGTTAGTGGGTAAGAAAAGATGGGATTTCTAATAACTCTCTTGTGTTTTAATAACAAACAAGACAATTGATAATAGGAATTATCTAATAATGATAAATAGATGTATGTTTTGATAAGAATATTAAAGTATATATATACATATATATATAAAAAAGCATATTCCAAGAATAGTAATAATAATGAAGATGGAAGAATGCTAATAGTGATCATGATGAGGATAGTGATGATAATAGTGATAACAACGCTAATAATGATATCAATAATGATAATAATTATAGTATCGATACCAATAATGATAATGATAGTAATAATAACAACGTTAATTAATAATGCAATGGCATCACTTAATGATGCTGCAACTCCTAAACATTCCCAGCAGCTGGGACAATCCAGGTTTTTAAGCCTTCATCCTTACAAATATATTGAATTAAATGTAGGTAATCAAGAGGAAAATATGTGATAATTAATCATTATCTTGTGATTTCTAGAATAAAAGAGATCATTTGTAATAGATATTGTATAATGACTGTAGATATAATTATGTTTTATAGGAATTATGATACTAATTATAAGGATAATATAATAATATGGATAATTTAATAGTATGGATAATCTAATAATAGAGTAATACTATTACTACTACTAATAGTAATAACAACAGTTCATTAATGATGCAAATGTCATCATTAAATGATGCCACAGCTCCTAAACAGCCACTCATCCCCAAAAGCTGGGAAAATCCAGGTTTTCATCCCGTCTCCTCCATTACTGCCACTTTTGGGGTACAAAAAAGGGCCAGAGGCCAAAGGGGACTGCAAGTCCCTTGGAAAACCCAGGCTCCAGAGCAGGAAAAGCAGCTCCGGCACTGGTGGGATGTATCCCAAGTTCCATGTATCCCAAAGCCCTCAGCATTGGTGCTGGCCGGGCTCCCTGTGCTCTCACTAGTATGTGTTAACTCTGAAATCTAATAACGACTGTTACTAGTGCTCTGAGACCGCATCCTTAAATCCCAGCGATGAGAGATCGCAGCTCCATTATTCCCACTCCTGCACATTGGGAAAAGGAAGACGGCTCCACACTTCATCCCTCAAATCCCCTTTTTCTGTCAGAATTCCACCTAAATTCCTCCTCCAGGACAAACGGCCCCCTAAAACAGGCCGGGAGGGCCTGTGCTGGAGCTGTGGGACTGGATCCCTTTGGCATCAGCTCCAGCTTTGGCCACCTCGACGTTCCAAATCCTCTAATGCTTTAACCAGATAGAAAAATTAAGCCGCTCCCAGCGCTCAGACACGGAGCAGGGAGGGGGGGAAAGGGGGAACCTCGGGACCTCCCGCCTGCTCTTTGGGCTGAAAAACTGGGATTTGCATCCAGCAGCCCTGAGCTAAGCACCTGCCCCAGCGGTTTCCCTCCGCTCCAGCCCATCTGCTGGGAGTTTGTTTTCCACATGGAAAAAAAACCCACCTTTAAATTTACCTTTCAAAATCCCGTTATTTTCCCTATGGAATAAACACCTTGAAATTCACCTTTCAAATCACCTTTAATTTTTTTCCATATGGAAAAAAAAAACCCTTTTACTTTTACCTTTGAATTTCTTTCCCTAAGGAAATATCCACCTTTAAATCCCTGCTCACCTACAGCAACCTCAATATACCTCTATTAAACACCCCAATCCTCATCTAAAATCACGGAATCACCCCCCCCAAAAGCCCCTTCCCACCCCAAACCCCAGCATTCCCAAAAAAATTCCCCCCCACCCCACCCTATAAGCTATTAGGAATTAAAGCCTGGAGGCGCTTGGGGTTTGATGACCCCGTTCGATAGGATTAAGGCACTGGAGTCATGTGAAACCGGGACCCAAATTAAATCCCAAGAGCCCAAGCTTTGGGATTTAAAATCCACAGCGGGAATCGGGCCGGGAAAATGACTCCCAGAAAAAAAGGTCAGGGAGCAGCTCGGCACCCAGCTCCTCTTGTTCCATTCTTTTAGGGGGGGATTTATTCATCTTCCCTTAACTCCGACTATTTATAACTGGGAGATAGGAGATGCCGGGCTGCGGAGCAGCGTCCGTTGGGAAAATCCATGGTGGCTTTTCTCACGACCCTGGAGGCGGAATGCTGGGGGGGGGCAGGAATGGCCCTATCCTCCGGAGAGGCCAAATTTGGGGAAAATAAATAATTAACTACAATAATACCAACACTAATACGTGACTTTGCCATAGATAGAAATGGGCTTTAACCTCTGCCGGGGGTGGGATGGGAAGAGATGGGATGGGATTGGGGAATGGATCGGGGACAGAGATAGGGACGGGATTCAGGACAGGACTGGGGATAGGGACAGGGATGGAGAACAGATTGGTGATGGGGAGAGATGGGATTGGAATGAGATTGGGGATAGGGATAAGGATGGGATGAGTAGGGGGCTGGGGACAGAGATGGGATAGGGTTCGGACTGGGGAACAGATTGTGGGTAATATTGAGGATGGACATAGGGACAGGGATGGGTGGGTATAGGACTGGGGACAGAGATGGGATGGGGACAGGTCTGGGGATGGGAACAGAGATCCACCACAACCCCACGCAAATCAACACCATCGGGATGCAGCAAAGGAGCATCCTGGCGGGATTGAAGGACCAAGCGACCCCTGTGCCTCTTCCTTCCATTAACTTCTATCATGGAAAACAACCTTCAAGGAGGGAAAACGGCTCCAGGAGCAAGGACCCCCACCCTGTGTCCCGCCGGGAGGAAACGCCACTGCCATTGTTTTTGGGGCCGTTTCCTTTCCCCAAAGGCCTCTCCTTCCCTGGGAACGCCAAGGGATGTTTCCCTTTGGAGTTCCAAAAAGCTCTAAAAAGGCTGGGAATTAAGGGGGAAAGATGGGAAAACCTGGTGGATGGAAAGCATTTGAGACCCATCACCCCAAAACCAACTGGGGCGGATTTGAGTGCCAATAAACAAGGGAAGCAGCAGGATTTTATCATGGGAGAAAGGAAAAACACAGACCCCCCCGCCTGATGCTGTGCAGAGGGAGAATTATCACCTCCAGCACATCGGGGTGCCCCTACAGTGGGATCTGGTTTGGGGGTGCTGGAAGGCGCCACTCGGCAGCTCCAAGGAACAAAGCGCCTTTTCCCAAGGGACCCCGATTTCCCCTCTCAGGACACCCCTAGGCAGGGACGGGCTGGATGGGACCCCCGGTACCCACCTGCCTGCTGGGGTGGGGACACGGAGAGGGACCCGTGGGTGCTGAGGCCCCCCCCCCGGTATCCCCACGTCCTGCCCAGTGCCCCCGGGACCTGTCCGGTGGCTCCCCTGTATCCGCGCATCCCGCCCGGTGCCGCTGCATCTCTCCCGTGTCCCGCCCGGTGCGCTCCGGTGTCCCCCCTCCGTCCCCCCCCCCCCGTGTCCGTGTCCCGCCCGGTGCCCCCCCGGGTCTCACCGAGCAGCGCCGCCAGCGCCAGCGCGGACCGCGGGAGCGCGCCCATGGCCGGAGCCGCCGCCGCAGCAGGTGCCGGGGCCGCGCCTGGGGCGGGGGGGGGGGGGAGGAACCGGGATGGGGGGGGGAACCTCCGAAGGGCGGGGCATAACAAACGGGCGGGGCCTCTTCTAGCCCCACCCCCAGGCAGTGCCCCCTCCTTCCCCCCCCCCAATCTGCGATGATTAATTCATTATTTGGGCTATTATTAGTGATGGATTAAGGCTATCGTGTCACACACAGCAGGGGAGGAGGGGGGGGCACAGGGACCCCTAAAGCATCCCCAGCCACATCCCATCCCATTCCCAATGGAGCATCCCAATGCGGCCAGGAGCCTTTGGCTAAACATGTTAATCCTTAAAAACAAATGAATATCCCCCAAACGAGGTTTCTTGACTCTCTGGAACAAGCTCCCACATTTTAGGGAGCTCTGGGATGAATTCGGTTCGGCTGAGGTTATCCCGGTCTTTGATCCAAGCAGGGTCAGACCTCAAAGATGAGCGGGATTAGATGCTGGAGGAGGAGGAGGAGGGGGAGGAATTAATCCCTCCTCGCCCTCATCTCCCCCTGTAAATCCAGTCTGGCTGTCGGGATCGCAGGATCCAGCCTCAGGGAGTGACAGTGAGGGATCAACCGGACAGATCCCAACAGGATCCCTCCCATACCCAGCGGCAATCTCACCTCCTGGTCCATCTGATGCAACCCTCATCTCCAGGCACAGGTTCTTTGGGAAAACTCACCCTCTTTTGGGGGGATTTGTCCTATTTTGAGCACTGGGAGCAGGCAGGGTGACTTGTCGTCCTCTTCTTCCCCCCACCATCCTGGGCCTCAACAGCATCCAATCTCCAGCAGTCCAAGACTTTGGCATCTCCATAGGGAACGAAACGAGCCTCATAAAAGAAATTAATCAACCATCTCCAGCAAAGGCAACCTCTGGAATGAAGCCACAGTGGAAAAATCCCAGAAGAACCTCCCTATCCCTCCAGAATTCCCTCGCTTTGAGGAGGAGAAAGACATTTTCCGAAGCCCATCCATGTTTGCTTGATTTTATTAGGATTGCCACATTCATCATGTCACAACGTCACTGATTGATGAGCTTTAGAATGGGAAGCGCCAGCGCCAGCCGGCGGTGATGGGGCTTCGATAGGAACATGTGTCCTTCCCTCCTTATCCCTCCCATCCCTCCCTATCCCAATCCCCGATTCTCACAGCTTTGATTGTATCCATAAAACACGGTTTGACAGAAAAACAAGGTGGTTTTCCCAGCTGCCAGGTTTCTTCTCCCCCGAGAAGTTGAGAACTCAAAAACCTAACCCCAAAATCAAACCCAGTGCTCCAAAAGGAAAATAAAAAAGGCCAGGAATTCTTTTAATGGTATAAAATAAGAGTGGATATGGCAACACTACGAGGAAAAGTGGGATACATCACGGAAACCAAAGTCTTTTTGCAGGCAACACTGTTTGGAAAGAGGAGAACACTTGATGGTGACAAAAGTGAAGTTCTAAATTATATACAACAGGACCTAAGGGTGGAGTTGAGGAACAGTCTCCATGGAGGTGAGTCAAGGTTCAACTTGCCCTTGTCTATTGCTTCGTTATCCAGATCCATAATAACACTTAAGAAGGAGACGGATGCGTAAAAATGGGACACGTGGAATAAAGAACCCTCCCCAAAACTCAGTTTTCCATATGAAAACGCCACGTCTACGTGCTTGTCCCATGTGGAATGTACCTACAGTCGTTTCACAGGCCGGGGGCTTCTCCTCCGGGAGGAAAAGCATCCGGAGAGCCGGGATATGCTCGCTTGCTGCGGGTGAGCCGATGGGAAGCACCCTCCCCCCCGCAAGCCTCTGGTCATCCCAAAACTCGTTTCCAGGCGGAAAAGTCCCGATTTGCCCAGGAGCTGGAAGTGTCTGGTAGTGGGATGGAAAGCAGGGGCAGAAAGCCCGAATCCTTATGAAGGATGAGAGTCAGTTGTTAAATTTTAAGGGATATCCGATGGCTTTTTCCAGGCACTCTACCAACGAGCCGGCGGAAAGAAAATCCCTCTCCACTTCCACAAATTTGATGTAGATGGATTTGGGGGAGACGCCGGGCTCGACGAGGCAGTTCTGAGATAAAAAGGCGTTGATCCCGACCCAATCTTTGCTGAAGGTTTTGGTGTTTGCCTGGAAGTGTAAAAACAGGCACTGCTGGAGAGTCCGCACCTCGGCGATGCCGAGATAACAGTAGATAATCCGGGCGGATTCCATGTCCACCCGGAGCGAGGCTTGTGGAGAAGGAACCTCCAGCTCACCTTGAGTCTCAGTGCCGGGATCGGGCGCCCTGTGCTCGGTGGGAGAGGAGGGAGGTTTCTCATGGCACTCTTCATATCCGATAGCGTACAATCCAGGGCTTTTGGGAATTCCTCCCGGTAATAAATACTGGACGACGTTCCCTCCGGTGGGTTTGGAGTGAGCGATGGGGATCCAGTCGATCTCCATGTGGAGCTCCAGGCACCTGGCTTCACTGATGGTGATCTCCAGGAACTTGTAATAGACGTTTTTCCAGTTCATTTTCTGCACTCTGGTCATGATCACTCGACCCTCCGGTTTTTCCGAGTTGAAGTATTCCCGGAGCCGCTTCCCAAGGGGTACCTGGGAGCTGATCTCCGCATAGTGGTAGCGGATGTCCTCCTTCCAGCGGGTGTTGTACCCGATGCCAAAAATGGCCAGTTTGTTGGAAAGGTGGAGCCTGGAGAAGTCCGTCCAGCTCTGAAACAGCTCCCACTTCAACTGGACCGACTCCAAGATTTGCATAATGTTCTGCATGACGTCGCGCTTCCTGGGAATTACAAAACATGGAGAGAAGGAGAAAGGCATCAGTAAACCGGAGCAGCAAAACCATCCCAGCCAATGCACCAACCTTTTCAGGGCCACAATGCATTGGGCTTGGGACAACCTGCTCTAAGTTGGCTTGGAAGAGACAATTCAACTTTGGAATGAAGACTTCAGCATCTTTCCTAGAATCCCAGCCTGGTTTGGGTTGGAAGGGACCTTAAAACTCATCCAGTTCCAACCCCCTGCCATGGGCAGGGACACCTTCCACTAGAGCAGGTTGCTCTAAGTCCCATCCAACTTGGCCTTGAACACTGCCAGGGATGGGGCAGCCACAGCTTCCCTGGTTCTGCAGGTCTGGGGTCAGTTGACAGCAACAGCAGCATCACACGTGAGTGTGTGATCAGTAAAAGAAGAGCCAAGATAAATTCCAGCACCCAGAGCGCTCAGTGATGTGTTTCCTACAGCAAATACCTTGGTGATGCTCTCCCATCCTCTCTGCTAGGAAAAGAACCTGGTGCACATCAACAGCTGTGGATTTCTGCCTTTGCAAGCACAAGTTCACCTTCTGAGGAGAAGACAGACAAGGGGACGAGGCAGAGAAGGGAACAGGTAGCACATGGTGTGTGTTTTGCTGCCATTCTACACTCATCTGACTCAAGACAGACAGCTGAACTGAACTGAAAGCAAGCAGTCCCATCCAAAGCCAGCGACAGGAGAAAGCAGCGTGGGTAGATTTTCAGTCAACAGCGGAGGAACGGAGCTAAAAACCCAAAAGAAAAGCTCCCACCTTTATTAATGACACCAGAAATACCCTGGCTAAGTTTAGCTCAGCACAAAATAGAGCTGCTGGGGGAATAAAAACGATTAGTCACTCATCCAAGTGCTGAGAAGAGGAAGGATTTCACTAGAGGTGATCTCCAGCAGCACGGTGCAGGAGGAAAGGGCTTTCCACAGAGGGAATCATCACTTGGAGTACAGGGGAATAGGCAGAAGACATTTGAAAACACTCCGCTTTTTGGGTTTGGAGTCTCCCCTTCCCACTCACATCAGGACTCCACTTGGTGGCTGCTCTGCTGAGCAGGAGAACTACCTCCACGCCGTGGCCAAGCAGAGGTATTGGAAGCATTAACAGTCAAATCCTTGCCATTATTCATTTTTCAGTAGGAAACTGCCCTGGAGCTGGATTTCCATCACCAACCACCAACCTCCCTTGCTGGCCACTGGCCATCTGCATGGCTTTCTCCTCGGAAGCATTTGGAATTCAAATGTGGGCAGGAAGACACCAGAGACAAGACATGGTGTAAATTTGTTCTAAAGGCTGTTTCCAAACAAAAGCAGACATCAAAGCAGCTGGAACAGCTGGTTTCAGTGAAGGACCCAGCTCCCCATGCTTCTACTTCATCTTCACAAAGCCCACAGTGAATAAAAAGCCTCTTCAAATCAATCTGAAATAGCAGAACAGAGCTGGAAGCAGCATTTCACTTTGCAGCTTATTTGGAGGCAGCAGCGTGCCAAAAAGAGGCAACAACAGAGCTGCTGTGGGGAATGAACACCCAGCTGATGGAGCACGGGACCTGGACACAGCTTTCCTACTGCTGTTTGCTTCCTACACTGCTGAAAACCAGAGAACCCAGGAAATATGGGATGTTTTATTAGTCTGGATGCCAGTTATTTACTACCTGAAGCTAAGAGAAGTAGTGCTGTCCTTGGAGATCGACTGCATTAGGTTTGTAGGTGCAGGATCAAGTCCTGGCGCTCGCCAAGCTGGGGGGGAGCAGCTGAACCCCAGGAAGAAAGGGGGCTCCCTTTGGTTCTGCAGGTTTGGGGTCAGTTGACAGCAACAGCAGCATCACACATGTGTGTTTGATCGGGAAAAGAAGAAGCAGGATAAATTCCAGAACCCAAAGTGCTCAGTGATGTGTTTCCTACAGCAAGTATCTTGGTGATGCTCTCCCATCCTCTCTGCTAGGAAAAGAACCTGGAACACATCAGCAGCTGTGGATTTCTGCAGGCTGCTCAGCTCCGAAAGCTTCCAAACCCCTTCCAAACGCCCAGGGGAAGGGAAAGAAGGAAGCAAAGCCAAGATCTACAACTGCCTGACAGGAGGATGGAGCCAGGAGGGGCTGGGCTCTTCTCCCAAGGAACAAGGGATGGGACAAGAGGAAATGGCCTCAAGCTGCCCCAGGGCAGGTTTAGATGGAGCTGAGGAACAATTCCTTCCCCAAAGGGTGCTCAGGCATTGG